TCTTCCAGGTCGTTTCAAATCAGTCAGGAGGACATGTTAATTAATCCATGTGCGCGCAGCTAGAAAATACCTGGTCTCATGGACTCCACACTCTTGTTGTTCCGCCTTGGACTATAATTACAACCACGGTAGTACTCTGCGTGGAAGACACTGTCTAGTGATGCAACCAGATTTATTTGATTTCACAACGGTGTTCGCAAATGCTGTAACTATTAAGGCAATTTTCATTAACCAGCCAGAAATATCCAGATAACGGTGGAATGGTCAACAGGTTATTGTGCACCAGATCGTTACTGACAAACGTGAATTCATCACCTCACTTTGAGAACTAATTTGCGCAAATCATAGATCTACACAGACTCCACTCTCCACATTCACCGATCACTCAGGAAACTGTTTTGGTTTGACATTGGGTTCAACAGGTTCTGGCATTTTCAGTGTCATTATCGCATGCTCGATGCGACGTGAGTGTGTCTTGGATAAATCAGACCAGTCACGAGCTTTACCCAGCATTCGAATGTGAATTAGCAAGTGCATTATTTGAGAAGATGCTCGACATGCCGGTAAGCACCCATCACTACGTCATTCTGCTTGCTTGCTGTCGTCCTGAAATGAAGCGTAATCATCTTTCCAAACGCCCTGTCCATCCACCAACACTCAATATGTGTGCAAGTGTTCGTTATGGCAAGTCTGAACACCACAAACTAGGTTGGCTAAGGTAAACCCAAATGCCCGGTTTGACCTCACGTTGCTGGCACTAAATGCACCTGTACGTTGCAGGTATTGCCCTGATTAATGAAGCAATTCCTTAATGGTCGCTGAAATGTAAATCCGTTGAAAAATGCACAGGTTAAATTGACCTTAGAGGTCAGCACCCAAAAAAGAAGGCAACCAGCCGTTGTAGGAATTCGACAGTCGGTGGCAAACGATTTCTACCTTCGTTAACTCGGTGGGAAGACCTTACAGTGTAGCTCATGTATGGATGAGGCCCTACACTTCATTTGTACGTCTGGTTTTGTCCCGGACTGACCAAGATGACAAGTCTACTTATTCTTTGATTTACTACTAATCGGACCCGCAGTGTTCTGTTGAGCTTCCAGACGTTTCCTCTGGAGTCTGTCGTAGGATTAACTGGTTGGAATAATCGGGAGTTAACAAGAAGGCTCAGCATGCAAACTAGAGTCAACGCGAAAGCACCCAGGCAAGGAACGCATAACGCACACCTCTCAAGTTCTGTGTTGTTTTTCTACCACTAGCACCGTGTGCACACAAAATCGTTTGATGACTCCAGGAGATGAATGCTGATCGTGGCTTTTTGCTCTTTGATACGTGCCCCTGTACCCAAAAGCAGTGGGCTTTTTATGCGGACATAGTGAAAAGTAACTTTTTTCGCAACTGTGAGGGTTGCGTTTCGTGCAATTTTTGACAGACACGATCCTTTTCAGTGTGCTCTCAATGAAGCTAGGCAAAGTGGGGCGTTGCTTGAACTGAATTTAATCAACATGAAAGCAGTTGGTTTGCAATAATTTTCTCCACAATGAATCAGTTTCCTAATTCGAGATTGAAATATGATCCGCCATTTCGTGTGAAAGGGGGTGTGAATTTATATGGGCGATGATTATCAGGCGGTTACCCACCACTCTATTTTGTGAACTCAGCGCTTTCAAGTTCCAACGTTAAACATTGCTTTGCTATCTGAGTCGTGTTGCTAGAGTGCCACCTTATTTTGTGACACTGTTATTAATGATCAACGGTTAAACTCAAGATTCAGTGAACTCCATTAAGTCATGATATCCACAATTTGCGAAGGCAAAACCCAGATGCGAAAGTGGCTAATGAGTAACGAAATTGTGACTAGGCTTGTATAGAACTCCAAGCCATGAGATAAATGCTAATTTCTGTTTTGGATCTTTAATATGTGATCATGTGTTTTTTTATTAATGCTTCGAATGCATTTTTTTAGTAATCAAATTTATTTTGTTTCAGCTGCTGTTGGCTTTAAGCCGAAGTGCGGTAATTTGTACTGAAACGTAAATAACAAAACCACTTTTCATCAAGCGTAAAATTTTTTAATTGAAGGAATCTTTCTCCCTTCCAATAGCTTTGCAGACTTAAATTTTTGCTAAATACATCACGAATCTAAAGACGCCTCATAAATGACCCTCGGTTTTGTGTGGTTATATGTCTGAGCATTTACAAGTGATTACAGATTTGGTTGTGCTTTTTTGTTGAATTTGCATATGTAAGAAAAAGACTTAAGTTTAACTTCTGGACTTATACAATGCCATCTTGAATACTGCAAAAATTGTCTGTCTTAGTTGACAAAAACTTGACAATGTATGCCACCTTGGATCGCCCGCATTTATCGAGGTCTAAATAGTACACGAAACTATTGAAACTAAAATCGAGATAGACCGTCACTTATCTGGACGAATGCGGCGTTTACTTTTGAATCTGTTAAAGGAAAGCGTTAATTGACTTTCCCACACCAACTGATGAACTGATTATCAGATAAACAGATCGTCTAGCCAGGCAATCAATTTCTGTGGAAGAAAAGCCGGAGTCGTCTTAATTCCAAACTCTCGATATTTGTATTGAAAAGGCCGTAAGGAGTTCCAGTGGTTAATAGTGACAAGACTCGAGTGCGATTTCTATATGGAGGGCAACGTCGAGTTTGGCACTGGAGTTATCACAGTTCAGAGTTGTGAATAACTCTAATGATTTTGGTTCTACAGCAAAACTGCTTTGAGTCTGTTGATGGAATCAGCACACATGTGCATTGCACCAGTAGCCTACTTTACCAAAATATAGTACAAATGTTTAAAATTGTTTGATTGCTAAAAAATATGTAACGTTGAATACAAGGTTCCTTCCAGTTACATAATATGAAATCATGTTTATGATTGGTTTTTCTAGAACCCTTTCTGAACACCAAGATCTTCTAGATGTGAACGTACCCTTGCTAGTTATTGGACTAAAATTCAGTCATTGTGCTGCTCCCCGCGAGTAAAGGGCAAAACACAAAATCAGTTTGTTCATTCTTATAAGAACAAAGCGTTTGAAATTACTTAATTACCTTAACCGTAAGTAAAAAATGTACCGTAAATCTTTCAAAATTTTGAAAACATTTCAATTTAAAGGATTTTTTGCAATAAATTATAAGTTAAACATTTGACTTTGTATTTTTTCATTGTCTATCGCGACATAAAAATGACGCGTCTTCTTTTCATATGCATTGCAATTAAAATTTTAATTTAGAGTATTTTTATGGTTCCAAAATGTATTAATGAAAATGTGGTAGGAATCAAGATTTATTCCTTGGTTAATTAAAATTTGTACATTGGTGGTTCATTGTAAGCAACATAAAACAACACGCTGCGCCATTAAAAACACTATGTCAGCCTCCAAGCATGCAAATCAGAATTATGAATTTTATTATTAATTTTTACCTTAAACAGATATTTTATAATCAATGTTATAACAAGGTGCATTTACATTAGCTGGTACATAAAATATATGTCAAAAGACTATAAACTGCACTTAAAACGTTTGCTAACATGAATTTAAAAACATTTCGCTACATTTGTCTAGAGTTAAAAATAACGCAACTACCATTTTTACGTGCCTTTCATTGATTTTTCTTGTGTCCTTCGTACTGTTTTAATTATTGAGATGTTACACGTTCGCGTCAGAACGGATTAGAAACCAAGAATATGGAAGACATTGTCCAAAGTGCACTTAAATCTGTTTGCCTTAGTCAAAACTATATTATTCCTGTAGCAAATAAAGAAAACAAAATACTTATTAACGAGGTTTGTTTTCACATAGTGCAATGTCTATGAAATATAAACACATCTTTCAAAAGCACCTTTCTCACAATCTAAAAGCCTAAAAAAGACATTTAATATCGTTGTAACCAAGGTAAAATAGCACAATATATGGATTATGTAGATATAGTACTCCGTAGGTGTGGGAGTACTTTATGCTCCCTTGCTTAGGTCTTCAACTGATCGTTTTGTCTGAATCGCAAAAATCCTGTCTCTAAAATCTGATTTACTGATTTTAAAGTGATTGAGCACACTTATGTTTGATGTTTTGGGTGAAAATTTATATGGGCATGCTTTATCGTACATACAGTATGAAAACCTCCGCCGGTTGGTGCAGTCAAGTGAAGATGAATGCATCTGCCTTAGACAAAGAATTCAAGCTATGCAAACTCATGAAGAAGAAGTAAGACAAACGACCGTGGCAGTCAATGCCATGTTAAAAACGTTCTCTGAAAATCTGGAAACTGAATTTAACTTAGCCTCTCTGGCTGAAAGGGAAAGAGAAGGTCTTTTAAATGACATATCCAAGGTTACCACTCAAACAAGGAAAATGCAAAACAAAATATCTGTCTTTGAAGCAAGTAACCGATTGCGTGGTTAAAATTCTAGAATGATGCTTTTTCAAAACAAATGGAGATATGCAAGCTTCAAGAAAATTTACGTCTCGATACAAATCAACTTAATAATTGTTTAAGAAATGCGGAGCAGACAAGTGACGATATTTATGCCATTACGTGTTTTATGAAAAAAGATGATTCAACTATAAAGGTAAAATTGCGATTTGAAAGAAGCAGGTTCCTTAAAAATTAGACTCTTTTTATTCAAGAGGAGCGATTATCAGAAAGAAAGGCTGAAATCAAAAGAAAACTTGACAAGATTGTTGTAGATGGAATCGTCCAAAAGGTAAGCAAATAAGTAGGACTTATTTTATTCTCATTAGAGGATAATAGTTATGGTTTGTAACGGCACCCTACAAAGGTTGCCTTTTACAGGATAATTTATATCAAGTTATGTCTAAGTTACCGTTAGAACAATGTTTTACTGTGCGGAAGCTCGTTCGAATTCTTAGGAGTACTTGTCTGAAGGATTGGCACTTTTCCGTAAATAATTTTATGTTTGTAAAACGCTATTTTAAACTAAAACATCTTATTAAATATGTTTTTGCAGCTCCAGATGGAGCGTCTAAGTCTGGAGGCTCGACAAGATATTGCAGAAAGAAAGGATGTTCTGGACCAATGGGAAAAGACAGTCAGACGCAACCAACATCGAGGGAATGAAATAGAAACAGTTCTAGGGGTAAAACTTTTTCCCGTAACCTGTTTCTTATTAAAACATTTGTAAATTACTCATGTTTTCAATCAAATTACAATTAAAATTTACAAATTAGCACTATTAATTTAATTTTACAGTCCCTCGATGAGCTTGATAGCCACATTAGAGGCAAACAACAGGACAAAAGAAGACAGGAAACTCTCCTTACAGACTCAAAAAGAAACACTTCTCATCTTGGTCAACAACTCATAAAGTCTGAGAAAGAGTTTCTCGATTTACAAACTGCATATTCTGTTCTTCAGACTGAAACTGATAACACAAATTCGCAGGTAATGACGTCAGGAAAGCCTGCACCTTAAATCATTAAAACTAACTAAAACTTTTCTCATTCTTTAAGCTGAAATCGTTGAAATGTTTGATGAGGCGGTGCTGTTTGGATCTCTCCTCGCGTCTATCAAAAACTAACCAAATTCAAAAATTGATTTTACTAAATAAAAAAACGTACGTCTGTGCTTGTAAATATGCACTTTTTAAGTTTGTCCTTTCCATGCCGTTTTTTGCTTTTGTTGAAGGCCCTTTTCTGGTCTTCGACTACATACAGACCCAAATACGCTAAACAAATTCACGCTTAACCAAAGAAAACCAAAGACAGGGGAGACAAGTGTTTACTAAATGGCTCAACCTGGTTGTGTCTTTGTCATGTGTAAATGTGTGAGTAACTAGCAGGAGAGGTAGATTCATAGGGGTGGATAAACAGCCAACTTCGTATGAGTGATGGAGACACTGCAAAAAGGAGGGTGCCAATGTGTCGGAGAATATAGCGGAAGATTTGATGGACGTAAATTAACACTGTTCACTACACTTCCATCTATTCTTTGTTAACACAACAAATGCAATTTCAGAATTCAGGCTACCTGCGAAGACACCCTGCGTCTAAAGGAGAGGATTGAGCAAATATTTGAAAGCAAACTCTCAATCAGCCAGCTACAGATTGAAACCGAGAAGTGGCTACGTAATGAAGAAAAAAATACTGCCAAACTTACGGAAGAAATCGAGAGGTTTTGCAAGGACAAGTTTCGAGTAACACAGGTGCGTATAGCGCAAAATGCGCAATCGATCTTACAGGCTTTCGTTACCTTTGGGATGTTGAGTTGACAGAACTCTGCACCTGTCAGATGCATGAATTTAATTTAGCGAACCACAGTGTTCTTTTTCTTAATGGCTAGAAATGCTTTATAAGCTTAGGTGGCGTTAAGTAATTGCCGAAGCTAATTCTACAACGAAAACATTTTGCAAGCTACATAAAATAATTTCAGTGTAACATATCAGAAAACGAAAGGTTTTTTGGATATTAAGTTTAGTTTAAATTATGGTCTGTTAAATTGTCTGTCTACTTGTGTTTAGACTGACACAAGTAGATGAGCAGTTACGCCGACCATTTCTCTTTCCACGGTGGCATGTTTGACGTGCAGTCAAGCTACTTAAGTTTAACCCGCATTACGCATTTACGATTGCATTCTAATGAACTATTACAAGTTTGAAAGGCCATGTGGATTATTTCAATAGATTAAATTATATTAAAAGTACCCGTATACATCACAAAACTTTCAAAATTTTATTTTTACATAGGAACGAATGGCTGCAAACTCGGAAAAACTGAGGCTTCAGAGTGTCATAAGAGGCGATAAAATTGAACTGAAAAATCTGGACGTTTTAATTCGCAAAGAAGAAGAGAAGATGGCCAACAAGGAACATATAATATACGATCAAGTAAATTAAACCTTTGTGCAATGCGTTTGGGTCAGTTCATGCATGCTTTAGTTAATGAAGCTGTTTTATGACTATGTTTAGTGTGCAAAGCTAGATTCGAAAAATACTATATATTAACACAGTTGTTTTACTTTGAATACTTTTCATTCCCTGGACTTTTCAGTGCCCATGTGTCAAATTTACTCAAGTGAACTTGTGGTTAAGGTGGGTAACGGCACTGATGTAAAACTGCAGGTTAGAATACTTGATATCTAAGAATTATGGCATTGGATTCAACTGTTGGACCACTAGAACTTGCTTTAAACTTATGCCTTGTGTTTACTTATCATATTAACTGCCGATGGTTCAACTGCAAAAATGAGTTCTTAGATTTAATTTTGTCAAATGGGCTACCAAGCTAGATTACTGAAAACCACTACGATTTAACTGATATTAACTTCAACAACGAACATATTTTTCTTACAGGCGCTCAAAATTTTCCAACTTGAAAGTCGCATAGATAGACTGCAAAACGAGACACCTGAGGTCGGAAGCTCGGGAATCCAAGAAGATATAAACAAACTATCCGACGAATTGTCGAGGCTTTCTGAGGTTCAAATAAAACTTTCGGACGAACTAAAATCCATCCAGGTATGGCATTTTTGCAAGCAACCGAATCTGCAAAGTTGTAGGATTTTATTTCTAGCGTCCTACCTTCCAGGTTGAATCAAAGAAGACTGACCACACAACTGAGAAGTTGCTAAAGGAAAAGGCTTCTACAAGCGCACAACGAACAAACGACGAAGTTTATGTAGAACGAACAGAGAAGTTACTGAGGCAAAAGAGAACCAACTACAATCAACTAGTCGTGGAAAAAACAATGCTGAGATTAAAATTGAGAGAAGCCGAAAAAAAGTTGATTGCATACACTGACGAGGTTAGAAGCGGTCAACGCAGTTTAGTAACATGAGTACCGGTTTGAAGAAATGAAAATTATTCCCCTTTTTTGTTCAAAGGTTATGAATTTGGAGAAATATCGCCTAGACATGAAGAGGATACTTCAAGAAAGAGAAATAGAAATCTCAGATAACAAAGATATTGTTTTGGCAGAATTGCGCCTCGTAAATGAAAGAAGGTTGCTCCTAAGAAAGGAACTAAGTGTGCGGCGAATGCAAATAGAGAAACTAATCGCCCGGTAAAGAAAATCATACGTGTTTTATTTTCTAAAGGTTCGAAGTTGATTCAATGAAAACGGCGTCTTCAGAAGAAAAAGAAACTAACAGTCAAATGTTCGACTTCATAGAGGTTATATACTCATACCATTTCTACAAAATTGTTAAGCATAATGAATTTACGACCTTAATTATGCCAATTAGCGTATGTTTGAGCTGAAAGAAAGTTAAAAGGAGTTGTGCGAGCATTCAATCCCGGGTTGGCTTAAATGCAAGATAGAGGGTTAATTGTTTTAGTTGTGCATTATTTTTGCAGTCTCAACCAAGGGCATAGTGGAATTCAAGGACACGCAAAATGTCTGTTGAAGTTATCAGTCACCACCTGTATTAAGTGTTGACGTGTTGACCAGAAGCGTTGGTCTGAATTTCATACCCTCGTGAGCAAATACATGTGCATTTATTTTGCACGCACAAACGTTTATACGTGTTTGTAGCTTTATTAAATCAATGCGTGGCTTCTAGGCCCTACAAGAATTAGACGAATTGAAGCTATACGGCACTGACTTAGATACTAGTATAAAGAAGTCCGAAAAGGAGCTGGAGGCCCTTCGAAACACCCTGGCTCTTTTGAAAGAGAGCGATCATCTGTACGAGAATAAGTGCGTTGAAGTGAACTCAGAACTAGTTAATCAAAAAACCATACTAAAAACGCGCTGCATGGACCTCAGAACTATTGCCAATGAAAAAAAAGAAAGAAGCACAGAAATGCACACAAGATTGAAGGTAAGGCGATGTTTCTATTCACTGATCACGGGTGTTGTAGGAGGTGTTAGTTCATTTGGAAAATGTCAGAGAAGACGAAATGAATGCTCTTCTTTGTGAAAATGAACTGAAAGAGCACCTGGAGAAGCGCAAAAAGGAACTCCATCTCTTGAAAGAACGCCTTTCTAGAGCTGCACGCGTTTTGAAGAAAGCAAAGACAGCTGTGATTAATCAAATAAGTGAGGCTGGCCACCCCATTCAAGAGGAAATGGATGTCGATATTGAGGTAGAAATTTCCGATTCTCCACTCACTGGGCCTTTAATGTTGCTTGCTTTATGCTTTCTAAATACGAACGATGGGCTTCGAACTTTGATATTAACTATGTCGAATATCAAGCAGGCGACTAACTGTGTTTTGGTAATGGCACCAGTTCTGTTTACTTGGCAGAGGTTCTAACTTGTGCGAGGATATTTGGCTGAAGGCGCCAAATAAATCGCAAGCCATTCGGTTTCTATATCAGGCCTGCGTGTTTATTGCTGACGGCTTTTTCTTTAGCCGAAACCTCACTTAGGGTCACCTCTAAGGCCTCTGTGTTGGAGCATTAACACTGCACCCTGCGCACACAAATGACCATAGTCTAACAGCAGTGTTAAGTGCACAAGTAAAATAGGAGCTTTAGCCGAACTGACAACGTAGGGGCCAGCTCTCCTAAACAGACTAGTTAGTTAAATTTGAAAGTTAGGACAGTTGCCAAATCGACTCTTCCTTAAGTCAAAAATTGGGTAAAAAATAAGACATCAGATATTGAAAAATTACTACATGCAAAACTGTCAGAATTAAAATAAAAAGCTACCAACTGAGGACTGAGGAATGACTAGAATGAGAAACCTGGTTTAATCAAATATGGTTATCCTTGGCTCCCTTTGAAATCTACTGTGTTTGCATCCATTTTGAACGGTAAATTAGTCTCCTTTGTGTTGTGAGACTCACCATGTTTTTTTCGAACCACGACGGAGCCACTGAGTCGGACCTGGCCGGATTACGCTAGCCCACTACCAGCGAATACGAAGAAAACTGGGGGGGGGGCATGGACACAAACATTTACTTCAAAATGACGAAATCTGGCCCGTCGTCGTCACCGGTGTCAGCAAATCCTTGCCTCAACTCCTCCGAAATCGGGCCGGATCCAACTCAGCGGTTCCGGTGCGGTTCGAAAAAAACATCCTGGGGCCTACAACAATTAGTGACCCTGACGTGATCCACGAAGGTTTCCGTCACCGTTGTTATGTTGGTTTTACCTAAAACCGCCTTTGACGCTCGCATAAATTGTGCCATTTTCTATAGGCTCAGTTAGCCAAGGACTTAAATCGAATGACTGTGGCTCTCATAATGAGTAGTCTGAAAGGAAACGATGAGATGGTAGACCATGCTCGAGCGCTCCTCAACGCTTCTGGGCTTGCCGCCTCTGAAAGTGGGCCTTCACGGCAAAGCGGGCTGTCGTCTCGGAACTCCAGAAATGCCGACCAACAAAGCGCAACATCATCTAGAAAAAATGCTTTCTGCAGCATACAGCCAACAGCAAGAGAGTAAGTAGGAGAAGTGCAGTCCTGTGGGTCGTAAATTTCATGGTCTGTGTGCCGTTTTGTCTTCGTGTTTTTTATCTCTGTCCCTTCGGAGATCACGTGATACTCGAGCCGAATCCTAATTTAGTTGAATTCAGAATAGGTGAATCTCGGGTCAGTGGTCTGTCTTCGTTGTAATAGTTCCTGAAAACCGGAGCAAGGTCATTGCTTTCTCGTAAGCCAAAAAAGAATCACCTGTTAAGCCAACTACTAATATTACTAAATGGAGAAATAGATCTAGGTAATCCACGGTCACAGTCTATGATAAACTAATAGAATACTGAATAGGCGAAACGAAACTATCGTTGTTAATTAAATGATCTTATCAGCCAGTTTAAATGTTACTCGAGATAAAAGGTACACAGTAATGTTTGAAATTTCTTTACTAGATCCTTGACGGAACACCTGGCCAACACGACCGGAGAGAATACAATTGTAGGGGAATCACTAAGTGGCAGATCGTCTTCGACAAATGGTAAAGCAAACTTTCTTTAAATTAAACACCCTTAACATTGAGGAGATCAAGCCAATCAGTCTGTTGCACCGTTTCAGGTAGACTGACATTTAAGAGCCAAAAAAACAAAATTTTGGAGACCGATTTCGATTGAACGCGCACAAAGTTTAAGTACAGAACCATCTTAACCATCAAGCTTGCATAGCACTTCACCTCTTTGATGGTCAGGGAGTTTAGTGTTCGCCAGGACCTAACTACGCCTAGCACCATGCTAGCACCTAGGTTACTTTGTCGAGGTGTCTTAATTACGACTTCCAAGACTAATCAGATGTACTCTAACTCTGATGGGCCAAACACGCAACTTTTTTGCCACCGGAGTGAGGAGAACCTGTTGCCGTTTTGGAGCGGAAACACAAAAAAATTCGGTCAACATTTTTTCCTTTTATAGTTCAGTCACTCGTGGAGAAACAAATGTCAACGTAAATGGAATGGGCTCGAATATTTTTCTCTACCTGAATAGGACTTACGTGACGGAACATCACGTCAATCGAATGACTATAGCACAAGAAAACATTGTTTGTTTTTTGGTAAATAATCTTTATATAAAATCACAAAGTACCAAAAAGCATCGTTGTGGAAGCATGAGCATGACCGATGACTACGGTACGATGGCGAGCCAATTAATAGTGGAAAAAGAAACAATGCGGCATTGTCATCGGCGAAAGGAGATGAGATGTCGATTTCCCTTGGACTTACTGCCACCAATTAAGTTGAACCAGAGCAGGACCATTGGAATCAAATGTTCATCTGTGTTACTTTAACAGAGAACTGAAGAATGAATTCTGAAACAGCAAAAAATTGCCACATGTGATTTTTAGGTTAATTAATGCAAAATAGGCGCGTGTGTTGACGACGAACAGATGCAATATACAGAAAAACCGTGTTAAGCAGCTTATTCAAAACTTTCGTCCTCTTTATCACCCGTTGAATCATGAGAAACCCAATAGCAGTCACAACCTCTTAACATACTAATTCGGGATTTAAGCAGACTGATACCGTAGTACGTCAATTTTCAACACTGCAGCCGTACCTTGTTACACTTTTTTGGATATTTGGCCAAATCAAATATTTGATGATATTTCGTGTCATTTGACGTTGCCACTTGAAATGTACTACGTTAACTCACGTTTGCCATACCTTAAATTAAAAAGTCTTAATTAACCAAACAATTAGATTCTTTGCTCAAAAACAAACGGTGCATACGGCGTGTTTATGGAACTTTGATTCCAGTGATGAGACAAAAACACACCGAGTAAAAAGCACCTGGGAACCTTATCAGAGCATAGGTGCGTTGTCTGAGGTAATTTCGCGTCTGCTGAGTGTACAAATTCAAAAGAGCCGCCCGATGAGCAAATACTAACAGCAAAACGACAAAAAGAGATCATAATAAAATGGTAAATGCTACGGAAGCCACCCGAAAAACCACCCATTATTCACATCCAGAATAATTGACTGCGTCAATGTAAAGGACAATCAACTAATTTTGTTAGCATATTGCCGTTGAACAAACAGATTCCCACTTGTATTTTGGTTCTATCGAATAAGACTGGTCTTGCGAAATAACTTAAATGCCCCTCAATTGGCCGAGGTCTGTTTTCAATGTGAAACAGAGTCAAATGCTTGCTAACTGGGCATTTCGGTCGAAAAATAGCAGCACCAAAAAACCGAGTGAAAACGTTTAAGGGATTTTCCAGCTCAACCTTGGCAAAACCACCGGCCACGGAGTTAGATCCATTGGCGGGGGAAACAACGCCGCCACCGTCGTGACCACCACGCAGTTCATGAATGTCATCTGTGAGGTTGGCCAGATGCATCGCCATATCAGTGAGCTGCTGAGCCGTGCGCTGTTTTGTCGAATCCAGCTCCTCCTCTAGTCTGTTGGCTTTAGCCTCGGCCGCCACTGTCAATTCTCGATAATTTTCGACCTCACGCCGAACTGACTTAAGACGCTCATGAAGGTTTCTGATCTATTGGTAAAAGAAGCTCCATTGTAAGTAGTGATTATTGTCAGCTCACAGTAAATGACTACTTTCCTAACATTATGGGATAAAAAAAAAAGATTAAAAAAGTTAGAGGATAGTGATTATAAAAAATGGTATATGACAAATTAGCCAACAGAAAATACGGCAGTTGAAAAGTCTGGCTGAGCACATTGCATCAACTTTTTTTCGCAAAGAAAGCAATTCATCAACCATGGTGCCCTAGAGGAGAATGCACGGCGGGAAGCATCAATAAACTGGAACCTCTGTGACTTGTATGTCACCCAGTGACATGAAGGGTGGATGGCATGAATTATGCAGAAAACAGACTTCTAAATACGTGTGACACGGAATTAATTATTGACCATCCGACAATATCGGTTGATTTGTGATTACACTCACCGAGATGTTTACACTGTCTACACTGCCCCAATAGCGATTCACTCCTCTTAGTATAGGCAACTCAACACGGCAGGTTAATGAGCGGCTGTGTGGCCTTGGTAGCTTGCTTCGTCTCTAGCGCAGAGGCTACATTCGCAGACTATAGCAGCAGGTTTTTGGGTCTTTCAAACTGATAGCGCCCGAAAATTCTCACCCCGTAGGGTATAAGCGGTCAAATGCATCGAATCATATAGCTCACTTTTGTCTTCATATTGAGTTTTGGGGCCAGAATAGGTCACTACTCTATAGCAGCAAAGGGCGCAAACAAACAAGAACCATACACGACTGAGACTTACCTCCTCATAAGCATCAGCCACACGTCCAGCGTAAACGCAAAGCTGTTTGTTGCGATCAAGCAACTGTCCTTCATAGAATTCTGTCAAAAGCTTTTCCCTGACAAGAACTTCGGGATCAACAGGAGAAGGGACGGCAGACTCACATGGGTTGGGATTTGGGGTCTGAAATTAAAACAGTATTAGTGGTAGCATTGAGGATTCGAAAATTCGGTTTGAGAAAAGAGAGCGTAAATTTTGCTTTAGATGGTTCGCATGGTTGTAATTCGTGCAAGTGATATTGTAATTGATAGAACGCAGCACAATTATTTCCACTAAACATTTGAAAATGCACATTTGTTAGATGAAGTGGCTTAAAGTTCGCTTAAGCCGCGAAGTAAAATGTACACACCATTTTAGTGACAAAAGAAAAACCTTAGCGGTAGATTCAAGGCAACGAGAGAACATGCTAGGTGCTACTGTGAAGAAATCCTAAAAAGAACATTCCCTCAGACAATCATTTCCTTGCAAAAAGTTGCTCCTAAGCTATGGAAAACTTACTAGACTTAGAAGAAACGCAAAAGACTAGAACGGGGGGAAGATGCGCCAGTCTGTTGAGTGGACGACAGGCGGTACCTTTTTCAATGTACTGAGGCAATAAAATCGATGAAATAACTGCGAATAGTAGGTGATACAGTTGACATTCTAACAGAGTATGAACAGTGAATGCCTGTCACAACTGTGATATTATGTTATACGTCGACTCATGCAAACACACCAATTCGGCCACCATCTGGTCGACATTTGAGCACCAATAATCGACACAACTCCCCCCATCAGTTAGTATGCGCCGAGTTTGTTGCATCAACTGCAGCGGTCCGAGGTGACGCGTGCCGGCCAGTGTCACACCGCTACACGCAATCGCAAATCATTGCTGGCTGCCTGTTGCGCACAGCACGCCAACCCGAGGTGTGTAAGCAGAAACACTCACCGATCGTTGGATAAGATGCAGCCTCCTTGTCTCCAGATGTTGTCGCAATAACTCCTCTGCAAGCTCATTCTCAAGCTGGGAAATGCGCTCGATAAGGAGCGTTTCTCTCGGGCTCAGTTTCTCCCCACGCACGACCTGGTGGAACACGGCGTCCGATATGGAATGCTTCTTTGCACATTTGTGGGATGGATCCGAGAGGTCTGGATTAGTCTCGAAGGGGTCAGGAGCGGAAGTGTTATTTTGAACTTGGTCAGTCCTCTGAATCTCGTGGAAATTGAAATCACCAGACTTGGCAGACGAGGTGGCCTCATTCGTGGCTGCAGCACCTTCTTGCTCGGTCTAAAGACAGAAAGATGTTGGCATACGGAAATGCCAGCGTCTGCTTTGTCAACAGCCCTCAAGATCGACAATGATCAGCTCTGAGGACTGTCGCGGTTTTTCGCATCCAAGCATGTGTGTTGGTCACAGTTGTGTGGAGCAGCAAAGAATCAAACTAACCTAAGAAAAATCATTTGTTTTACTTTGAAATGAAATGGAGTGGCAGTCGAGTGAGTGGGGATTTGGAGAGAATCTCTGAAGTTCGAGATGACGTGACACGTGCTTGTTAAACCTGACCAGTATGACCTACACCTGTTCTAGAACTAGCTAGTGGGTCACCAAGCTTGACTTTAACCGCGTTACTTAAGAATTCTCCGCATCATAAATCTTGGGGTTATGATGATTCAAGCTTCGTCTTTTTGTGAGTGTAACCCACATAGTTATCTAATCTTATCCACAAAAATAAACCCAGTCTTAACGATGCCTCTTCAAAACAATACTGCGCAAGCAAGTCAGCTACAAGGTGCTGGTCAGCAACGTGACTCCCTCAGCATCACCAAACTACATCGATTGACGGTACTATGTTCGCAGATGCTTATTTTAAGAAAACCCCAATGTGTATCAAGGTGTTCAAGAGTTTTTTAAGAGACCTGTCGAGTCGATAAATTTGCACAAATATTTTAGTTGATTTATTTGCAAATAGACACGAGGGTCCGACGTTGTGGTCACCATACCGATAATGCATTGGGTGAATTTTCATTATAAACAAAAACGGATCCAATAGCACGAAATGCCTACTTAGAGATTGTTTAAGTACAATTATTCCTGGCAAATGCAATCTCACCGAATCAAGACGCGCTATTCTCCATGATTTTCAAGCTACTTTGGCTACATCGGAAAGCAACCACCTCTTTTAGTGGGTTCAAAACCACACTGTGTGACGCACAACCACAACAACTGAAATTACGTTGAGTTTGCTTTCTGATACAATAAGCACTACATCTGTCTTCTCAACATTAATGAGGCATGAGGATTTGAGTAGATTGCCACAGGTGCACTTTTAAGATAAGAGCATTGAGGAAAATGGCTACTAAAAATTTAAACCACAAAATCGCATTCTTCAGCAGAAATCAACGCCTGTAGATTTTAGCCTGTTTGTGTATTTTGATTTATTTAATTCAAAATCGCATCTCTCACGGGTAACGTGCTAGAGAATTTACCGTCGAAATCTCTAGTTTTCATAGGAGTTAAACGCTTACAGGAAACTAGTTCTAAGGGTAAATATTCCAAATTAGGCATAGTTCTTTAATTAACTAATTTGATCAGTCTAATCTCAAACATACATCCCGTAGGTGCAATGCATCCAGAGATGACGATGTCGCGTCAACGGAAGAAGTAGACTGTGTTAACGGAGAAAAATAAGGAATACTTGACGTCTGTACAGCAACAGATTTTCTTTGCAATCCCTTGGAGGGCGATAGATTAGCAGATTCTAGTTCGGCAATTCTAGCCAAAAATTTCGAGGATTGGGACACCAGCTAAATACAAAAAAACAACCGTGGTAAAAATCACAATTAATGAGGCCGTTTTGGAGGATATCGACTAATACCTCTTCATGAAGTTTGTTGCACTCCTGTAGGACACATCTAAGGGCATCATCCTGAATAGTCACGCTGGCTGTATAATCGTTCAACCTCGAGCGACTGTGCCTCTGAGTGAGAGCCCCAAGTTGACTTTCTAGTGAGGCGGCATGCTCAATAAGGTACTTATTCCGAAAGATGAGACTCTCCTTTTCATGTTCCAGATTACGTGTGTGAATACTTTGGTCTGAAAGCCTGGTTTCGAGAGAAGCAAGGCGGTCAGTAGATTCTTTAAGGTTGTCCTTCAAAATGCGATGCCTTTCTCGCAATTTCTTAAATTCTACACCAAGCCGTGTATACTTGGAGCGCAAAGATTCATCTTCAAACATGGGTCAAATGTGTAGGAATATGAGCAGCCGTTTTACATCAGGGAAGCTAGAATAGACAATAGAAATTAGAGATTGAGAATTCTTAATCACTACAAAAAAAGCTATTTGTTGAAAAAAAAGAGCAATCACCAAAGGCATTCACTTAACGGTGACACAAATTAAAAGACAGGTTACACGACTACATACGACAAAAAGTAGAGCAATAAACCGATATCGCGAAATGAGACTTGGCCATTAAAATATCCTTTGATTAACAAAAAGTCAATTAAATGCTGACTCGGAAAAACTACAAGTTAAAGTATAAATATGGAGACAATTAAAAAGAGGTACAAAATATCAGCTAACACAAAAGAGGCAGTATTTACTAAAAGAGACAAAATGAAAACGTATTAACTTGATAGTAACTGAAATCAAAATACTAAAAAAAACATAGCTACACACCCATAAAGAAACTATATATTTTCTTAATCGACCACGAAGACTTCTACCCTCCTCACATATAAGCAAATGTCATATGACGAAATGCCTTCTACATATTGAATTAAATTGCTCCGGTGACGGTTCCATTGCATGAAAAGGAAAACTACAACAGACATCTTCAAATGATGGATTATGTGTGCATCGGCAAATGCAGCAGTGACCAGACTGCTCAGTGTTCGCTATCATGAGTAAAAACTGACGCAATTTAAATCAGAAACTTTAAGGCTGCATTACTGTTGCAGCATCTACACAAAACTCTCACATTACTTGCAAGCCATCACTTCTTATCAATATTAACAAATGAAAACATGTAAGAAGTCTACAACTTCAAATAAACCAGTTAGGCTGCAATTGAAATACAACGCCACCAACCTTCGCGGGCTCAACGCCATGCAATATTGAACACGTGACATTGGCTAAAGCAAATCAAAACACACCACGTCATTTGCTGCTGATGCTGCGACTGAAAATGCCTACGCTAACTTCTATATGCTTGTGCGTTTTTACTAAGCTGATAAACGTGACAAAAGGAACGTATTTATGTGCGTGTTTGGATTGGTGTTCGAGGTGCGGGAAATCTTGAAGCAATTCAAATGACCTACGATGCATGCATGTTCTGACGCACAATCCACACAGGCGATGTTGACATTAAAACGGTAAAAAGCACCTCAAATGAGTTCCTGTAATCCGGGACGAGAAAGGTCTCATCAATGTAGCCGTATTACTGTTTTCACTACCTAGCTCAACTCGATTTATGACCTGAGCGCACGAATTTCATTTGAATTTGCTCCCTTGAGCGAAACGTTTGTGAACTCACCTCCATTCTGCTCACGCGCGAAGTTACTCATGCAACGTGCATCATGTGCGAACACGTGATGTCTCCTTCACAGTACACCCATCGATTCATGTTCACCTGCCACATCCACGAATTTCCTGCGTGGGAACCCATCTGCAGGTCCCAATGCATCCGCATACAGTTTCACTTCGACAGGTGATGATAACTCTGACTTTTATGAGACCACCAATGATCTAACTACATAATCCTACACGCAGGCTTATTGGCACGAGATAAACCAGCAGATGGGAAAACATAAGCGCACCAAGGCTCAATTAACTGCAAACAAGTGCAAACGTGCGCTTTAATAGTTCACCAACAGACGGCACTGCGTACACAACACTTTCACCTCAATGTGTGCAGAAGCCTGCATTTTAAAATCAGCCAGTTATAGCACATTGCTGCCCTATTTGGGAGTGAAGATGTCCATATTGACTGAGAGGGAGTCCCATCAAACACATCGTTTGTCCTCCTCATAGGTATACGCCTAAATTGAGCACAAGAGCTTATGCTCAATGAGTCCAGTCATAAGCTCAACAGCTTGGAGTGCAAGGCATTCAAGGCTACATCTAATTGAAGCCAAAAACCGTTGCCAGTAGAACAATGCACCCCTCAATTGTGAGCAGGAAGCTATTGGCATGTTCATTGACTTGCTAACTACCTCAATGCAATTGAGCGCTTCTAACATAGCCGCTAGATGTCCTGTTAGTTACGCTTTGTTCAAACCAATTCGAAAGCAGCATTAGAGCAAACGTAACTGTAATTCATTTGCATGGTTTTGAATGTGCCTAGGTTTTGACCAACAATACAGTAAATACACATGTATAAGCTACTGTAGACATAAGGATCAACGTAGCAAGCGAAAATGTGGTGTAAGTAATGAACTACAGGTCTGCACGCAATTGTTGAAACAAGTAGCACTCATAGAAAATGTGCAAACATAAACAGTTACAAAAAATTAACTGTTAGAAATCTATTTGCCTATATTAGCGCCTTTTAGGTCTAGCTTTTGAAGGGACTTACCGTTCATAAGTCGAATCGTTCTTTGGAGCGTTGATGCATTTTCACCTCCTGAACGCATCGACAGGCTGTGTTTGAAGGGGGTACTCTCTTGTAGCTTGGGAAACAACCTCAAAGACGTCTGAGATATAGGAAAAAGTCACAGTCAACAGAGAAAAGCGCATTAGAACAGTGTTTACGTTTATGCTGAAACACTGACCGCGACTATAAGTGGTGATACATGAGAAGGCGATGACTAAAAGCAACACATAGACCGTGGATTTAAATTTCGAATACCACAGAAAATCTGGAGGGTGTCTACAAAGTGTTGTTTAGTAAAGCACATGCTTCTTAAAGCACTCAATTTAGATTCAAAATAGCGTCGAGAGAACCTCGGCGACACTTCCTCATGATGTGGCCTCAACTACTCTAGAAATGGCATAAACGTACACAAAAAAGGGCGCCAGCGAGAGCCGGTTTAACAGTGCACCAATGAAACAATTTATAATAAAGATCACACAAGGATATACAGACTTGAAATTTAGGTTCAACAGTGGCCACTGAATGAGGCGCAACCTTTTGGTGAGTAAACAGGAACAAAATTTGATGGTAAATTAACTCCGAAACAGGTTTACAAGGAGAATTATGCGAACCAAGTTGCATAACGATTGAAAATCGGCTTATTAAGATTACCGTATTTACAGTTTAACACATACAAAAGTTGATTGCTTACGGTAACTTACTGAGCTACCTACGCCTCACATCTATTTTTAAGGCAAGAAATAACTACGAGGAGAAGGAAGTACAACACCAGTGAGCTGGAAAAAGTAACGGCACCGAGCAATTAAGGCTCAATTAACAAATACTCGAGAAGGAAGAACCACTACAACCTTGGAGGATGAAAAGGTCCAGACAGCAGACTTTGATATGCACTCGGCAATTACAATAAAACACAAGCCCAAGGTGCCACCTTTGAGGTACCATATGTGGAAAAGAGGAAAAGGGCGAACCCATCGCGAACTTTGAAATTAGATATAGAACAGTAAATAGTCCAAAGAATGAGACAGAACGTAGAGCAATACGGTCTAAAAAAGCTTTTCATTTCTAAAGCAACTCACACAATAATAACGTTGAAAAGCTGGTGGATGAAGGTGATATGTTAGTACTGGCCTCATCAGAACCCCCGCACTTTTCAACATTAAAACATTTTTCGATTTAACAAAAGAAATCAAATGTTAGAAAGAAAAAGGAACCTGAAGAAACGAGGGACAGTCTTGAGTCGCAGTCACAAGAAAACGCAGCTACGTTAAGTATATGTAAGATTGACACTAGTCAGATTGTTGTTTTAAAAAACAGGCCTTCTAACTACTTTTTACAGATTTGTTTAAGAAGATTTAATAAAACAAAACTGCATTGGACAATTTCAAACGTTTGAATATCATTCGCCAAGTCATGCTACAGATTGACATTAGACCTCTTCCAGCACAAAATAGACCTATTGAGCTATGGAATTTTTTTTAAGTATGGCTAACATAAATTGTCATCTTAATAATCCAGTAAAAACGGAGCAACAGAAACTCGTATAAACATAATCATTTTTGTAACTAGCTTGTATACCACCAACGGCATTTGAACCCGTGAGCGTTTGAAATGCGAATTCTGATAATTTGCCATATTTGGCCCACGAAGTCCTCGAAGCACTAATAAATTTCTGCTTAATTACTCAATGAGAGCTTTACCACACTTACCTACCACAAATCTTGATGAAACTGTTGATATTTTATATGAATACATTTAAAATAACAACTGATGCCATAAAAAATGGCAGTTAAGACAAATGACCTTGGATTGTACCTGAAATATTTAAACTATTGCGGATGTGCTTAGAGGACAGAGTGGTTTAAGTGATATTCTAATGGGAAGGAATTTAGAATGCTGGAGAACACGACGCAGGTGTGAGACCATACGTCTTCAATATTTTTTGTGAACAGGAACTGATTCAGCTGATAACAAATTAGACTGCACACGCATGGGAACGTAATAATCCCAACTAGTATTCAGCAGAAAGTCGGTAGTTTTACACTTAATTAGGCATCAGAAATCGTAAGTTCGCTGTATGGTTAAAAGTGCAAACATTCAGTTACTTGGCGTTCAATTAGTGAAGGGTTGGCTCGAGGCCTAGGAATAGCACCGCTTAATGGCTTCGGCAATGAAACAATCTTGTCGGCGCCGACTTCAAGTGGAGCCACAGCCTCATTATCAGCTGTTGTGTCACCAAGATGAGACTTTGTAGGCATGTTGACATTATTGTCAACAACGATGGCGGACTGTGGGTCGAGTAGCCGTTCTGACAGACTAGTCTAAAAAAATACCAACTTTACAACGACTGAATTCAAGCGGTAAAAACTCAGCAAAAGCATATAGTGTTAGATAATTTCAAAATGAAGGTCATCATAATGAAATATCAGACTTGCCGACTTGGGTCTGGATATCAGATTACCCAAGTGGGGAGTTACTTATTTGCACCGAGAAAACGATTCAGCTGACAAAAAGTGTGCGCATTCCCTTTGAAGAAACTTGCTAACTAAACTAACTCAACCCAAACCACAACACAAATGGGAACTAATCATGTTTCATCAACGGTAATCTTTATGCGAGTTTCACACCCAACTTGTGCAACATTAAATCACACTTCGATGAAATAAATATCAACCATTATACCAGACCCAGCGTGAAACACGTGTGACAGTATGCACAATCGGCATAGTCTCACTTAGAAATTACGACATTTAGCAACGTCAAAGGTTTCAAAACCAAATTCTATTAGTGGGTTTGACAACCGGTTACTACGCTTGATGAAAACTAACATATGCGATCATATGCACACGTAAACATGGTGAAGGTTCTTATGGCCAGTTTCGAATTGCTTTAATTAATTAGGTGAGATAAGTAGGCCTACATTTGTCCTAAAGCTAGAAAAAGAAACTACAAGAAATCAGATTGAGAGCAAATGTGAAGACCGGAGACACGAAAATAGAGGTCGTGAACTTAGGTTCAGTGTACTATAAATACAAAACACCTTAAAAGTTAATTTAAATTAATTAAACGTCCTACAGGGAAAGCACCACTTGGTAAAAAACAGGATTAGTCTACCAATCAAATTGTTTACAAAGTCAAAGGAATATTAAACAGTACATTATATAGAACCATTGTGCAACCTCGGGTTTACAAAAAATAATTGAACAGTACGATATGCTTAACTGAATACCTGCCGAAAAGAACTCATACGAATGAAAGTTGAATCATCATTTGTGTAGGTTGCCTGGACTGCATCACGTTCACGTTTCTGTTTTTTCTCAAGACAAATAGCGAAAGCACAACCAACTGCATGCGATAGTCGTTCACCCTGTTTAAAAAACGGAAGTAGACTAAAGTTAGTACGGTCAACTTCAACAGTAGAAATAAATTCGACACGAATGGAAAGCTACCGGCGACTATGTACACGAACTACTTGCGAAAGCAATGACATGTTGCACGCATAAACCATTAGAAGAGAAAAGCTATGAATGTCTAACTTCCCACTCTATTCTTAAACACGCGTGTTACTACCACGGCAGCAAAAAGTCAGGACAGCAGGCCCACTGACGAACAGCAAAAGCAGCAAATGATGAGGACTTACTGACTCCTTAACGGCGAGAAATGCATGACACATCCAACGACGAGTTGCTCCATCACGACAGATATACGCAAAACCCTTATCATGACCGCGGTCGGGAGCGCAAAATGATACCTTTTCAATGGTTTGATCAACAATTAAATGCTTTTCTATGTAAAGGAATTCTAGCCTTACTTTGCTTATTTCATCCGATACGCGTAATGCATCTCCGCTTACATACAAAATTGCGCGCTGTGTTTTTTTCTGTAAGGGAGTATAGGCATATATCATAGCCTACTTTGGATTTCCGAAGGGCTTTTATAGCTTCTTCACATACTTGCATACCCCGAGATTCGAAGACTTCAATACACCCCAGATACTAGAGAAGTAAAACAGGAAACCTTAGTATACCTTGACTTGGAAACTGCAGGAGCCCTCCTTTATCTTCTTCTCATCTTCAACCCAAAGTTGCGGCTTAGACGATTCCGAAGAATCGGACTCCTTTTTCTTGCGTACGCTGAAGGTTTTACGAAAACGATCCATTTGTATGACCCAGAACACCACAATTGGCAATAGATAGCAATCTATAATGTGCGTATAACGAGTGTAACCAATTAATGTAATATGTTGCAGCGTGAGTCAGAGAAAAGAAAACCATAAGAAATGAGACGAAGCAAAAACAGCCAATGAGACGAGCAAAGAAAATATACGAAAATTCAACAAATTGAGGTATATATTTAAACACAGTAAGTTGATTTACAGTAATTTACTAAAACTATTATAAGTATAATTGCAGCAGTCTTACGTAGCATACCTGTAATAACCGATATTTTTGTCACATATGGTCACGAAGTTGAATTTCAGTGAAAAAGTTTCATTTGGTATATTTTGTCAATTTAATATTGGGTTTTGACTCTGGCATTTTTAAATATTATAAAAATTCGTCGCAACAAGCATATGTACGAAAAAATGACTGTACACAAGTAGCAGATTATTACTCCATATTTTGTCATCAACGTTGATAAATATTTTATAGCGAACCAGATCGATTAAATACTTCAGCTTTACGATTTAACATTAAATTGAGAACTGACCCAAATCCGCTGTTTCGTATTATAACTGAAACTGCTAGCTAATCGAATGTTTTGAAAATACTTATTTGAATATGTCTTATTGACATTTGTTCAGGACCTACTTCCCACTGCTCTAATCCTTTTCCACCCAAAGCATTCGTACAAGTAGAAACGGAACTTACACCTAGCTTGCTAATTCGACGGCTTATATTATATGTGATTTTCAAGATTTCAAAATAATAACCTATTGACGTTCAATTTGATAAATTGCCGGACGGTTTTGCATGGAATAAATGTTGACCTAAGGACATTTTCTTTCACAAATTTTGCATCTTCATGAAAATTTAACCAAGATGTACATGTGGCATTGCTTTACGTTAGCTGTATGATACATAACAGCATTATGTGAAAGTGAAATATATATTTCTTGGCAATATTTTGGGAAATAGACAACCAACTCATCTTATAACGGAAAATAACTAATTTTTATTATAATAAAGATTTCACGATGATTGAATAGCGCCGCATAAAATGCAATCGATAACAATTTATAGCAAATTAAGATCATTTTTGATTTTAAACTAAATTGTCAGTCCGGAAACAAAAAAAATCCTCGTAAGGATCAATTACAGTCATCAAAATTAACCATATTGTTCCTTAATATGCCAAAATCTTAATTGCAAATTACAGTATTTGTTAATACTTCCCATAATATGTTGTTTGTACGTTTTGAGTAGAAATAGTTCACATGTATAATTTTTCGATTTTTAATTGCCTGTCATATATAAATGATTTGGTTTCACTCATTGTTGTATGGTGCATATCACTTATACAACATTTTCTTAGCACTACGCAAAAAACTCTATTGTCTACATCATTCCTACCCATGCATCACGACTGTAACTCTCTTAAGAGTAGTTTAAATTGTAGCCATATTCCCGTGTCATAAACAATGGTTTTCATCTGCTAGTATCATTTAAGGTCATTTGTTTTGTTTTATTTAAGAAAGCTTGCATGAGCTTGCTACACCGGAGCCCTAATAGGAAAAAGACCGGTACAACAGAACAGGCTTTATAGACCAATCACCAGCCAGACACACGTCAGGCGCCTTCCATCCGAGTCCACCACACTGGCCACGCCGCTCATTATCTACTACACCTCAGTCGTGGCCTTCTCTGGTTGGCTGCTTATCTTTATCGCATGCCATTGGAACACAGAGAGACACAGGATCAGCTGCGGCCAGGTGGTCCAATATGTCTGCGCCCTGATCCGACGTCACACCACACCACACTGCACTTTAATTATAGTATGCCCTCCGTTTTAATGTTTAACAGCACCAAAGACGGTGAAAAATAACTCACGCTATGTATCTTTATAATACTAACCAATTCTCAAGCTAATCCTACTTGTTTTGCATATGCACTGTTTATTATGAGTAGGATTTCTTAACACCTGCCTATTCAGTGATTATTCTTTCCATTTACTAATTGACCTTACTTGATAATTTTCGTTTTGCTGTTCCCACATACTTCCACCTACTTAAAAAGTTCCATTTGGCGTAGACAGTGCTTCCTCCTGGAATTTTTTTAGTTTTGTGCTCACGGAAGTTTATTCGTTTTATTTCCATGGAAGTTTAAGAAAAACAGGGTTAAAAATTATTTGATTATTTGGTTTCCCGCTCACTTCCTATTAATTTCTAATACTTAATCACTTCGTATTTTCATGTGTTAGTGAAAGAATCTCAGTCATACATTTCAGTGTCTGAATGATTAAATATATTGTTACTCTTTTCCTTATTTATTTTATTAGTTATTATAACCATTTAGGTCTATGCGTTACATTAAATTTATCTTTGGCCTAACCTGTACAACTGTGGCGTCGGATCAAGGCGCAGACATATTGGACCACCTGGCCGCAGCCAATCCTGTGTCCCTCTGCGTTCCATTGGCCTGCGAAGAAGATAAGCAGCCAACCAGAGAAGGGCACGGATGAGGAGCAGTATATAATGAGCGGCGTGGCCAGCGTGGCGGACTCGGATGGAAGGCCCCTGACATGTGGCTCTGGCTTCTGATTGGTCAATAAAGCCTGTTCTGTTGTACCAGTCTTTTTCCCATTAGGGCTCGGGTATTCTACACTACCACCAAAATTTGTTAATCATTTGCATCATGATAGTTGTATCATGGCAATTCTACAGCGTCTTTGCTTGTAATCGTTTGTAGTGGCAGTAGAATTTTTTTATAATTGCCATCGCACATTCAAAGGTATATCCCGACAAGATGAGTAATAATTAATCACAAACTCATTTGTGAATGGTTTATAACCTATTCACGTTGATGTGCCCGCTTTGTTGATGTTAATGTCTGTTATATTGCAATAACGTTCACTGATATTTATAGGTAATGAAATTAAATTAAATCTCGTTGCTCTTACATACGCATCATTGGACTTTTCTTACCTGAAGCAAAAAAACTCAAAAATATTTATTAATTTGTCTACAAAAACGATGTTTTTGTGGACCAACCAATTAAAGTTCTATGCTCAAGTCGTTTTTAGGGAACAAAAAGCATTAAATTAAAGTTGTCAATATTTTTTGCAAAAATCTCATCGTAAATTCTTTAGTTGAAATAGTACCATTTTTGAAATACGTTAAACAAATTGTGCACAATGAGTAAAAAGATGCTTAGTTGCGAAGGGATTTTTTGTGCATGGCAGATACATATTGTTAAAACAAGGTCAAATTAGGTACTAAACGTAATCACCAACCAAACTTTTTTATCGAAAGAGACCAAATTATCAAAATGTAACATATCTCAAATTAAACTACAGGTTCGAATCAAGCTGAATTTGAGCGAAATGCAGAAACTGGCAGCTTCCTGAACTGTCTCCTTGGAACTAAAACTTGAAACTTATAACGTTATTGTGCAAAATTTTAACATTTCTGATCGAGCAGCTTTTTTCATTATACAGGCACTATAAATACGATAAGCGTAAATTTTCTAGCCGTTTTCGCAATGGTTTTAACTGGCTCATTGGCTTAATTTAGAGACTTGCACAAACGCAAATAATAATAATTAAAAAATTACAGTCAATTTACGACCATTTCACCTATGTATTTTTTCACTGACTTTCATTTTGCTGAAGCCACGTCGTTTCAATTAAAAACGGGGCACATTACACTAAATGGCAGACTACGAGCTGATCTTTTGTTTACAGGACAGCATCGCGTGCCTCGCTTAAGGTTATAAGGCAGAAAGCAACAGCAGAAGTTAATACGGTAATATAGAAGTCAGGTAATAACCTAACTCTGTTATCCCCATTGAGCATCCTACTAACTAAATCAAATGCGCACATCAGCGCTGAAAGCCTATTTTGCTGGCGGAAGTCATGGATTATCATTTAAAAATTTAAAAGCCTAGGCGTAAATAGTGTTTTTTCAACCCCTTAATCCGGTCGCTCCACTTCCTACACAGGGTCCCCCTTTCACAGCATGTTGCCAGCCGCGCGAATCCTCAACCTCCCCTTCATTAGCATGAATATTTTTCTTGGAGTATCCCCACGCATAGGTCTCGATGTTAGTGCATGTATGACTCACACATCCAAGCTATAAATACACGCGCAAACCCCACACAAGACACAACGACACCAACGAGGTTGAGCTCTGAAGTAAACAGTTGTGTCCCGTCCTCTCCGGTCTTTTTCTTCATCGCGGGTATTAGGCAAGCGTGGTCGGGCCAGAGTTAATTCCGTGGCCCCAGTGTGGTTCAAGGCCACATGCTACGGCCCACAATAGCCTTATGACGAATTACGTTGGGATTCTTTTGCGGACACAGAGCGTCCACTAGCAAATTTGTGTTTGCCCAAGACCACACATGAATCCATGCGTTCCAGCCTGAGATACCAATCGTGGTAGATTATGTTAGACAAAGAATTTGCGTACTGGTTCTCGAAGCATTTTGCATGGGTAATCAGACTTCTGTGGCAAGTTTATTTTATATGATTACCTGCTCTCAGAAAAGTAACATGATACTTTGAATTCTAAACTAATTATAAGACTACAAGATAAGCATATGTGACCTTACCTGACCCAACAATTCGTCTTAATCATTCAATATATACGTTATGATCGATTTGAATGCAAAGTAGCAACAAGCGTGAAAGAAAATATGCATTTTAATCGAATGATTTTTAGAACAGATAAAGAAATTTTAGATTTGGATTTTTTTGCTAGCTTATACTGCAACTTTTTACCCCTTAAATTAAAGTCTAACAAATATTCTTTATGACTCATAGTTTGTGCTACCATTGCCCTTACTATTCTAATATTAAGTCCACGTGCTAAAAGGTCACGGACATAAAGCCAATTGAGCCCAAGGTACTGGGCGTCAACTCTACTCTCCACATCATTACTATGTTTTCCTGGGTGTGCTTAACAAAGCAGCCCTAAAATTGTTTCCAACCCTCAATAGACTTTTGGCATCCCAGTTAACCATTTTTTTGTCATTACCTGTTTGGGAAACGGTAAAGTAATCCCACCCATATAATTATTTCTAGTGGATGTTAAATGCATGGAGCTAAGGGCTGGTCAGTAGCGTGCAGTTATCACAATTTTGAATAGTTAGCAATTTCTACCAATAGCATAAATAGAGAAGGCCTCCCTGTTTCTTTCGATGTTACCCTGGTTCCAAGGAAGAAGGGAGGTCAGGTCCACCCTAGTAAACTTGATTCAGTCGGTTTTATTTTAGGCTAAATACTTTTGTCTGATAAAGTGTGGAGCTGGCCTGTGTAATTTTGTGTTCGATATTGCCATGAGCAATGAAACGCATTTTGTGATTTCCCAAATATCTCCTCAACCCACTTGATAAGTTAGTTTTTAGTTATGACAAAACAGAGAATAGCATTGACAAATAAACTCTATTCTGCCAGTTGAATGATGCTCGTTAGACTCTCCATATCAAGGAAAGGTTACTTATTCAGTAAAGCCACAATACTACACTAAAAAGACGTTTACTTTCAAGGGCAGTAAAGCTGTTTACCTAAGCAGTAGTTTCCTGGTTTCAATCATTGGGCATTACGAAAGCATTTTGGCAAGAACGAAATGGGTGACGTCTGTGCAGTCACCGTTAATTTAATGACATCATGAAAGAGTCAGAGGTGAATGGGTTAAAACTGATCATTTGTGGACAAAAAGAAGCGTACGGGATGATAGCCTGTGCTGAAGACAGTGTAGTTGTGTTAAAAATTAAGAAGCAATAAATGCAGTCGTTACTCATTATTTACGGACCTAGAAACACGCTAGTAAAGCAAAGGGAAAAACTCAGAAATAAATCGAGTGTAAAAAACACCTATTCCGCTGCGTGTAATTCCAATAACCGCAAGTCGTTTCACTTCTGCGCTTTGGCAGCCTCGCGTTTTTCGATCTTCTCTGGGAATTCGCCCGCTGTAGCCCCAATGTAGGGCGCTTCGACGGCGCTCAAGCGGAGTGGCGCGTCGATCAGGTAGGTAAAGACGAGTGGGATGGAACCAGAAATGTTTTGTTCCATTGGTACGGCGTAGAGGTATAGTTTATAAAATGATCCACCCTTCGGAATACGAATAAGCAAGTGAACCAGTTGACTCGGTATGTCTCTGCTTAAAGTGCTCGACCTGTCCCCGGGTTGAAGTTCTTCGCTTTCAAGTGTGTTTGCCTTTTGCAACAGGTAGCCGGTAACGTCCTAAAATGAATTATAAATGAACATTTCTATCGAACCAAAACCCAACGTATAGGCTGCACTCTAGTAGCTGGTTAAATATGGAGTCGAAGAATTGTTTTACTGGGAATACAACTTTCTCTCCGAGTTAAGGGCAGCTTCGTTTGCGTAATTAAGATTTACACGATGATTGAATGCCATTTTATAGGTTATTCACTTTAGTTTAAACTCTCAACATCAGCGACAGATTCCATGAACGAATGGTGAAAAACGAGAACTGTTTGTGTGTCCCTAACCACGTATTATACCAAAACTATGTAGGCCATATTCATTGTAAAACCCAACAATGTTTAAGGCAATGCAATGACCACTTTGAATAATGAGAAACATAGTAAACACATCATTTAACCGCAAAAATGACTTTGCAAAATGGAGACACCCATGAGGGCACTTAAAATTGCTAACCTTTATGAGCGAGAAACCCCAAAAATAAAATTTAATTTAATTTTTTAATGCTTTTGAGAACACATGTTAGTCACGAATACTAAACAGGCAGATAATTTTAAGCTTACATCCTCTTCTTCGCCTGAAATATCCACAAGTTGACTGATTAGACACATCTTCTGCTGATCAGGCAGTCCAAGTACTATTTGCAGATCAAATGCTTCCCTGTCCACAGTTGGAGGCCCCTGGTCACTTTCACTTCCTTCCTTAACAGATGAAAACTGATCCCCGTCTAGATTGTTTTCTTCGCTCTGCAACTGCGTTGCTTGGGAGCCCATGAACCTCTGGAGAACTTGAGATTTGGTCGATGCCTTTAAAAGAAGCTCTGAGCCAGCCCGGCAGGCTGTTCGAACCCTGACCAAGGGGTCAGGATGACTAAGGGTGCGGAAGCCAAGATTTTGCCAAGATTCATCTTGTGGACCAAGATTGATTGTAGCTAAGCGACTGAGAAGAGGGGTAGAGAGTGGCGTGCCGGATTTGGCATCAATTAGAAATTGCCAGGCCTGTGAAAGCAAAGTAAACGACGACACGACTTCCGGATATGTAAATTTCGATCCAAACGTTTTACCATATTGAGTCTTAAATCAATACCCGAAGCCAGGTTTTGTTTAATATAAGCTAGTAGATATCCATTTCTCCATATCGTGGTCATGGAATAAGCACCAGTAATGATTAGAATAATAAATAATCTTTAACACATGCGTTTATTAAATATTTGAATATATTAGCGCCTTAAAGGGCTGTGAATACCTAAAATCTGCCAAAGAGAAAAGGGTTTGAATTTCGCAAGAAACGAATATTGACACAAAACCAATTTTTCCACCTTGCCACACATTTTAAGAAAATATTTGGCACAATGATCTAGGTATTGCGACACTGAGCTTGCAATAGGCGAGAAGTGCAATTTTGTTAATTTTGACATTCGCTCGATTTGTTTTTTAGATATGTGCAAGGTAAATTTCCTTTCTTTTAGTCAAGCTTCACCTTTTAGCTTCAACTGAAGATCTATTTATACGCGTATATCAGGTAGCAAAAACAGTGGGCTGTGACATCGGGTAAACTGTAATTCAACGGCTAACATCCCATCCCTGAAGCACCAGCATTTTGCCAAATTCATTAAAAAAACGTGGGTAGCTCTAAGTCTGGGGTCGTGTTATCTAACTACAAAAACGGAGGATCATACTGCGAACCCAGTAAATCAAAATCTAAATGATTAAACAATGAATTACACTCTACACTCAACAATGTCATTGAACTGAAAACGTAATCTAGAAATTGATTTCACGTCTAATGCATTATTGGGAATTGAGGTGAACAAAAGAACCTTAAGATTTTATACCTTCTGTGTTGCCTTCAAAACTAAAATTATTTTTGAGAAAGTTAATGTGTTGTGCAATAGCCACTGCCTTCTCGTGTACCAAAATAAACCTCCACCATCTTGAAATTGCCTCTATACTATAGTACTTAGTTTTATCTATTCAACTGTTCTGTCGTTTTTTCTATTAAAATAAGCTCAATACATGGAAAGTGTGAACAAGCAATTAAACATGACTTATGGTTTGCTATGATTAGAATCTTCTAAGTTTGTATTAATTTAATGAGCCACCAGATGAAGAAATGTGTGTCAGAATCACTAGTCCAGTAAGGCACAATCTGTCATTTATCAAAAAAACTAACAGACAGATGTCTCGTATTGAATAAAAATGAATTATAAAGGTTTTGTAATAATACATTTCATTAACCTGAGTAGAACTAAAACGTTATTCATGTAAATCATTAAGTTTGTATTAGTTCTCTGTGAGAGCAAATTACTTCATTGTTAAATTCCAGCATTTAAAATGACTCATTTTGACTTAATTGTCGATTACGGTAAAATTAAAAGATTAAATTCTGAAATGAGATCCGTCGATGTGTCTCTATAAGATAATTGCAGCAAATTTTGAAATTTTTAAATTACCTTATAGTCATCAAGAATGATAAATCAGATGAGAACAAAACTAACGCCTAAATACGCAAGTCATTTTAATAGTGATCACCCAGAAAAACGCTCTTAACCTAATTTAAATAACGCATTAGAATGATCGCCTACTAACAAAATGTTTTCTACATGTATAGATTACTGTCAGCGACACATCTTTAGATTTTTAATCAAATACGTACTAAAATGCACTGTAGTCATGTTGTCTTTCAGGTAAAGACATAAAAAAATATTTATTTATGCTAGAGAATTCATAATGCGGCCGTAAATAAATTTTATCATTGACTAAGCAGGTTACGGAAACAAGTCCTGGATACTGACCGCGGTCATAAAAGCAAATCAAAAGGCACAAAGTGGAAAATCGCATCACTTGCTAAAATTTAAGGATTGGGTCAGCAAAGACCTTTTCTAGATGATTTCCTTCATGGTATTGCTAAAATACCTCTCATAATTCCAAAGGCAGATTTCAAAAATACCTGCTATTTGCACAGTATTTTACAATTCTGTGCTAGAATTCCATGCAAGTCAAAGCGATTAGCATGCTTAATATTTTTGGTTAGACAATATGCGTTGCCATTATTTTATCTTGCGCAGCTAAATTAGCTTGACATTGTACCACCCGCTAAGAAGCCACTCAAAGTCAAATGAATGTTCGAGTTTGTGGGAAGAAGTTAATTCAAATTGACAATGGTTCACAACACTGGACAACCAATAGGGTGGAAGTCAAAAACCCTCCTTTCGGGCCGAAAATCACACAAACTTGACGGCAATTGACAATCTCATGTTTTTATTTGCTCGGCGTAAGCACAAACCGAACAAATTATTGACACCAAGTCGACGCCTTGATGTGGGTGCACTGCTGGTTGCTTTCTCTATTTTGTTTCATATCCACGAACAAAGGGGAAAGTGCAAAATCTTGGAAAGCTGTGGGAACGAGTAATTAAACTCTCTCCTCAGACCTAGATCTACTAACGTTAGCAGTAATGTGCAAACAAGTGTCCTCAAAAATTAAGTCCATTATTTTTGCAATAATGAAATCCTTAAGTTTGACACTTTGTCAGCCTTGTTTTGAATATCAACAATTGTCATGATTTTCTGTTTGCCAGCAGTTTTTAAATTTAATTGTGCAGTAGATGGGTATGACTGGACTCCAACTGTTTTGCTGTTTGAAGAAAACTTTGCATTCTATATCATAAGTGAAATTCAAACAATACTCATTAATAACAGCCCTGATGCAAAATAGGTTTCACACTAGGTTTCAAAACCACATGTTAGAATAATAAGCGCTTTATTAAGAGAAAGTTGTGGGAGGCCAATTCTATTTTACGCACAAAGTAACATCTTCATGACAAAGCAGATCAAACAATTTTCAAATGCGTCCATTTAAACCTAGTTTGATGGACTTAATTAGGAAACACTTAACATTCGGGGATTGTAAAGCTGCTATTTTCCAACAGATTGTTTGACGTTAATACATAATTCGGTTAAGTTACGAGTTTGTCCAAATAGTATGATTGTTATCCATTAGAACGTGTCTTTTTAAGTGTCTTCGGGTGCTCCAGCGACTTACATAAAATATAACTGATTGATACCACGTGTATATATTTCGCGCTTAATTATCATTAATTTCTGCCTCTAGATATTTCGATTGCATTTATTTCACGAATCCCTTTCCTGAACTTTAATAAATATTTTTTATGAAGAAAACACGATTTTGTGGACAAAATTATGAAGGTGTGGGATTAATACCTAATAGCATATTTTTTTAATTAGCCATAAGGCACCTGGCAGCTACGGCCTCCTTGGCATTTCTAAATGAGCCGTATCCCTAGCTTCAATGAAATAGACAATTTGGTCGACATGGGTGAATGCCTATATAGGTATTTTTATTGTAAATAATTTCGCCCTAGCATAATAACATAGCTCGCAATATTAGGGCGAGCCCAGGTATGAGATGAGTCAGGTCATATTTCGGGTTGCATAAATTAAAAACACTTACCGAAGTTCACCTACACATTTGAGTCTAAACACAATAAAGAACATACATGCCCTCCTTTGACCACCCTCCTATAGCCTTGAAGAAAGGTTTTGACAAGAATTTAATGGAATGGAACACAGCATATTCTTATCTAAAGAAGCAGGTTCAACCAACGTCCTTTCAACAAGTATTAAAAGAAGACAGAAATTAAGTCTGTATTCCCTGTATGCGCAAACACTCTTCGGATGGTTCCATTTGCTTAGCTAACTTTTAGGTGAAAGTGATTCACACAAGAATTTACGCATAAAAACAACTTAAGATGCGCAGAAACCCAACGTTACAGGCTTATATTAGCATCAGTTTTTCTGCAAATGGCAATTTATTGGCTTATTATTTGCAATTATGTCTACGTTTGAATCATTTGAAATTCTACAAAGACGGTAAAGGTAGTAACGAGGGTGTTTTTTGTTGAAGCTTGCCCATTATTTACTTCGCATTCTAACCAGAGTCAGACCGCCACCAGACAGACCAATCAAGTACAAAACCTGATTGCTAGAAAATCGTTCGATTTTGCATGCTCGTAACACAAAATAAACCTCCAGTACGAGTGACCATTTTCACTGCAGCTAAAAAAATGATGCGTCCTATACTAAAATTCTTTTTTTATTTACTAACCTCTAGTCTACGTCCTCACACTTTAAAGTGATTTTAAAAGCTCTAAACATCGATTTTAAAGTGGATGGTGCACGACATTAAGAAATTGTTCTCGCATTCAGATGGTCCTTATTATGTTCACTCTCTGAGTTATTAAAATCTGTTTAAATAACCTCTAAGTATATAATTCATACATTAAAATAGGATGGTCAGGTAAATAAGTTAGTAAATGTTAAAAAGGATTTGTCATCAAGTGGTTGCCAGGTTTCTTTATCCACTAATCTTTAAGGCGTTTTACCTTTAAACTAATTAAAAGAATATTAAGTTTGAAGTCAACAGATTGCAGTTAGTTCCTGTTGAAAATTAGTACCTAGAACTTGAGGACGAAGTCAAAATCCACAGGTTAAAAGGTAATCAAAGCATTGCTATTTGTCAACGTACCATGCCTATTTAAACTGAGCATTATCTCAGGGACACTAAAATGGGAACCTATGTTCACATTATTTAGTAAACTGCAAATGCTTTGACTTTGACATTTTTGAAAATTGGTGAGAATGATGTTAAAAACAAACACTGACATGTGTTTTGTTCATTGTTTCAAAAACATTTCTACTTTTGATGCGAATATTCCCATAAAATCTCCGCACACAAGCACACGCCGTTCATCAACACACTAAAAAACCGAAAAGCCTATGATTTAACATTACTTAACCGATTTGAGAATTTGATTTAATCACAGAGTTTCGTAACGACCATTTCTTCATAGTGCCATAAGTACGGACTAAAGTAGCCAGAATTAGGTTTTTACAAACAAATTTTATGCAGTTATCCATGATTTCCTTGGACTACTACCGAATTGATGATTTACGTACACTATGTAAACCTTTATAAATTTTATATTTATTAAAAGGTATGAAAATGTACCATGGCTAGATAGCGGTTTCATCTAAGGTAAGTCTGCTAGCACGCTCACGGAAATTACTTAGGCACCTGCTTTATGCATGTTTACCACGAAATTAAAGTGGACCGCAAGAAATCCCCACTGCTATGTAATTGTGTTTGACCTAAAAGTTGAGGCCTCTCCTTACGGATACGTTTTGCAGAAGAAGTGTATTATGCGTTGTAGGTTGCAAATGGATCACAAATCCTCAGATTATTACACCGATTTGTTAATATTGCTAAGCTAACCCCTTCAAACGTGAATAAGAGATACCTTGAAGGTTTTTTTAATCGGCCGATTTTTCGCCAGAGGACGCACACAACACAACTATTCATAAAATTTATCAAACGGTGTACACACGGGTGAGGATAATTTCAACTTGACAATGAGAACCACTTCCTAGCCCCCATAATTATGAGTGAGCAATAGTGTGCATAATTGGTACTTGTGTTACGACATTAAAGGAAGACTCTCAAATGAATCGAGCGAGATTTCGCAGAAATCATTTTTAATTAAAGTTTGACATCTGTGATTATCTGGATTAGCTAATTTTGCAGACTAGAATTCGAATTAAGTAAAGTTTGTTTTCTGTGACCTAATGAATCATATCGTTTCATGTCATTTAAAAGTTTATGACATCACCAAATGGTAGTCGATTTTTGAAAATGTATTTGTTATTCGTAGAAAATAAATGAGTTTGGTGCAGTATTTACTTGTCAGATTTAAAGTAGATGAAAACACATCGATGCAACTAATAAGAGTTTATAGTTAGAAATCATATGCCTTTCGACATGATCTTCCATGTCAAAACATCGTTGAAGCCACAGGCAGGAAATAATCAGACCACAATGGGTAATTTTTAAAAGGGTAAATCCTTGGTTGTTTAAAATTCTCAAGACCAGGCCTGTACGCTGACTAGAGGGTGTTGGAGGTAATGCAAGATAAATTCGGTTTCGTCAACTTTATACTGGAATTTGTGACAACGTAGAAGTCGTTTAGGTATCCAATTACATCGCATAGGCAGCGAACCTACAAGGTCTGTTCAAGCTACCCGAGTGTGCATTAGGGAGTTATTTTCCAAGTTTGCGTCCATACAAGTGCGTTAATTTGAGAACTCAACAAGTCAGCGAATGCGCATCAAAATATCTCACCCAATAATTCCATCCGTTTCATACATGATTGAGGGTTGAAGTGTATGGTACAAGGATTTAAGGTCCAAGGTTACTCCAATAAAAGCGAATGTTTAATAAGATCGACAATTTTAGTGTATACAAATGAATCCCGTGGCAACAAGCTGACGTTGAATGGTGTTTGTGAAGCATCATCTCTTAAAACAGTCTTTTTTTATATTTTCATAGTAGTATTGCATCATTGTCCTTGGTAAAACGGTACTGCCATGAATAAGCACTATTTGTATTAAAATAAAGAACCAATTCACTGCATTGGAACGCACTGTATATCTGCATGCGTCCACTTCATTCCTGATCTAATCTTTACCAGAATTATTGTTAAAAGAACTTTTTTGCAGTGAACTTAATCGCATGGTCCAATTCATGCCAATTGGAATGATTGTTGATCCAAAGATATCTGTGCCCATGTTTATCTTAATGTTTATGTAAACGTTGAGGTAGGTAGTGCTTTGAACAAATATGAAACGGGAATATAAAAGTGTCACAACAAAAGATAAGTGAGGATATTAATTTCAAGTTATCGCAGGCAGATTTTGGTGGCATTCAAAAACGCTAGATATAATTGGTATGTCTTTATAAAAACGCTTAGTAGTGTTATAGTGTTACAGTTGAACAGTGTTTAACTTTGATTTAAATAAAAATGCTCTAACTTACCAGATGGTAAGCTGTAGGTTCATCCGATCCAGGTGGAGCGGCGTACACTTCAAGGGCGTATTCACCAGGCTCTGGAAGATAAGCAGTTAGTACAGACATTGGAACGCATGGACCAGTTCCAGTGAGAACTGAAACTCCTGTTGTTGGCATTGAAGCTTCAATATTCCGAAGAAGAACGCAGTTTTCCAGCAAATCTGCTTTAACAGACAGGGACTTTAGACGTGCCGTTAGACGGGGTATGCGATTTTCCTAAAGCGTTTGAAGAAGACGTTTGGACCGTCAGATATTGTAAAACATGTTATCACCTTGCCATGGATGTGAAAAATATGAAATGCAGAATTTCTGAGATCAAAGTGCTTATTAAACTACATAGACGTGTAATCAACGAAGACATTTGAATAATGCATTCAATCTAATGAATTTCTGTAAAATTCTCTTGGATAGGCTGCGGTCTTAAGAAGGTGTTAGTTGAATAAGCCTAGCAACTGTAGCAGCGGGTCGTGTTTATTATGTAGTGCTTATTTCCTTTTGAACGGATTTCTTCATTAAAAACGACTCAGTGATTGCGGAGAATTTTCAAACGCATTCCATCTCTTGGATGTTTCATTTAAAAAAAGATTACCATGGCTTAGATTAACGCCCAAACCTATTTAATGGAAGATGAAAATGCCACAAGCACCTAGAATCCTTCTTGGATTAATTTAACAAAGACGTAATAGGCATAAAATTGTACTAATTTTTGGGGCAGATGTTAAAGGCACTAGTAAAAAATCTCTTTTTGGTTAATGCCTTTTCCAAATTTTTGATTCGGTTATCACAGCAATCAGTGAAAGGGAGAAAGGTCGTGGTGTTATTCAGAGTATAATGTCATTTAATTACACACATGTGTTAAATGGGCTAAAAACGAAGTTGAAACCTTGCTGAATAATTGAGATGTAACATAATAAATCGAAAATTAAATTTAATGGTCTCTTATCATAACTTGATATAGCTCATTATTCGGTAAAATTATCAAGAGTTTTAGCATGGTTTGACATCATTTAAGTCATAACCCAACAGAGGTGTTTTTCGTACAAAATGGAATAATGGAAATGTGGTCAATTAATTGTAATGCTGCATAATATAGTGTGCATGCAAATAACAGTCACACTGCTACTACATCGTGTGCAAAATCACGTTAGTGAAGGTGCTTGTGTTTATTAGCCAAACTCACAGATGTGAAAGACCATTCGTATTGCCAAAATGAGGACATCCTCTATGATTTTGGCTGTTATTTTCTTAAAATTACCATCTTAGTGCAAAAACGTCATCACCTCTGGTCTGTTTGAATTTGAGAGACAAATTACGAGTTAGGTACAGAAATACAGAGTAAGTGGGTGAATTTGGAATGTGAAATGTGCCAATTGGAGGGTAACTCAGGGAATCTTCGAAAAATTTAATTTAGATTGCTGTTGTTGAAAGTTTAACTCCAAAAAATACTAAAACATTTTTCCATTATTAGTTCAATATGAATAGGGCAACTAAAAGGTGCAATGACAGTTCAAGGCGATGCAAAATATCTTCTTGTGAAATTTGACTTATCTTTTGGCTCTACGCTCAGGTAGTCCTACCTACAAAGCTTTTCCATTTTACTATGAGACATAGCAAACAATTTTAAGCATTAAGACAGTTGCATAAATACTTGCTGAGACAAACGTGTACTGTGCTACGAGTGGGCGAAAGTAACATTTAGAAGCCAAACCGTAAACGCACATCAGTTAGTTTTGACTGGATGAAAAATTTCAATAAAACATATTCTGGTTCCAATGACAATGCTTATGTCCTCAACTAATTCATTTGCGTCGTAGTAACTTTGTTCAGATATAATAGCATTTTTAATCGTGAAACGTATTGAATTTAATTTACCATAAAAAAAGCGAAAGTGAATAAATCTATTCTAATAAATTTATTCACATTGTCAATCTTAAAAAAATCCTTTTACATGTTTCTCTCTTAAAGAATATCTACCTAAAGAATACACTAATTACATCGCATTTCAACAGATCATAGAAACTTCATTACTGACAACGATTTTTTAATCAATTCACCACTACCTGAAGAACAACGGTGGATAACAGGGCCATGGTAGTTGACGCTGAACTTATCTTTGCATTTGTATGCTTCCTCTTAGGCCTATTTGTCTATCCTCGTACCAGCTAAATTTATGGGACTTTAGCAGGATATCAAAGTTCAGACGAAATTTCCATGGTACAAGTAAATTCATCTCGACTCCACACGAGGGTTTTAGCGAGCTCCGTGTTTCGCAAGTGTCATATTTGTCTCTGAAAATCTTTTTTTTTGTGCCGACCATAATTGTCTTACAACAATTAATAGTTGTTTTGGGTGATAGCCAGGGTGTTTAGCCTTTTCTTTGACCATGATAATTTGCATAATGTTTTAGCTAAATAAACCACTTCTATACAGATGCCCATAATTACTAAATTTATCATATATGACAATTTAAAATTAGGCTTTCCTTTCTGAAATCGAAAGAATTGATAACTGTCCATGAAAGATAAAATCTTAACTTTCAAAGTCTGTAAAACTTCGGGAAGGGTTGCCACAGTGGACACAGTCCTAGATCAGACTGCATTAGGTCTTCCGTTTATTTTCCGAACAAATTCGGATCCTTCTTAAATCTTGGCAGTTTTGCTAGCCCATGAAGTTATACTTTTCGACATATAGAACTTAGATTAATGCTTTCAAGGAAACAATGGATAAGTGAGTACATTTACATAGTCTGAAGTGTGAATAAAAATTAGCGTTTAACAATTCATTCGGCCTTGATTTAGTCTTTAAATGTTAAGTACAAATTTTAGGTAAATTTTTAACTTAATTCATTAGTTTTTTCCATTGGTAAGATAAAAAAGTTCTTAGTATATCTACCTTACTTTGTGCCTCTTTAATCGCTAAATGCATACAACTTTCATTCAAGATTACGTGAACACACTAAAGGCACGCAAGCAGGCAGTGAGATTTTAGATTAATAATGAAGTGGGAACATTTAAAGCCAGCTCTATTGCAAAAACTTTACTAGCGAAATAATAACTAAATTCACGGCCACGTATTGATAGGTGACTTTAGGTAAACACATCAATAAATGACCTTTCACAGGCTAACTTCAGATCTACCCAATAGCCGGCCGTAAATATATTCCCAGGTAAAAATAGAACACTGTAAGGCCAAATCGATGAACGCGCCTGCCACACCTTACGACCTGCATTCTGACAGCCATTAGCCCCAAGTAAAAAGCATAGACCATGCTGAATGTAAGTTGTGTAGGATTTATGTGAAGAAATATCCTTACCTTCAAAATAGAAATTAAGGCACTCAAATTAAATCATGCAAAAGTGAAGCAATGTACGAAATGTTGTGAGATTAAAGAAACTCATATCTAGTGTTTGCATAAAAGTTTGCAAATTAATGTTTTATTAAATGTGATCAAAAGGACAGGATTGTCCAAAGTGGCACCTCAGATTCCTTTACAATAAATAAATTCCTATAGACTGCTTATTTGCTTTAAATACAGGACCAATTATATGTAAATTGCCCTTGTTGAAATAACTGATGCTCCAATTTTTAGATTTGTTAATATTTAGAACTTGGTTAAATGCATAATCATGGTTATACAATTCTTCTTTATCGAATTAAAGTTTGGATTTTTTAAAAAAAGCAATAATTTTATCGAACAAGTCTATTCTTTCACATCTAACTTGAAAAAAAGGTTTTGAGTTTGAAGAAAAAAATAATTTTTATAAGTAATTATTCTTGAATCGAACATATTTATCGCCCAAATACATTACGATTAAAATAGATTAGAGAGTTTATACGCAATTGGCTCGTTGATCGTGATTTTGAACCTGCACCTTATCATACTGCAAAACTCGGTCATAACTGCAAAAGCAGTGCCAATGTCTGAATTGACAAACTGTATTTAATGCAGCAGTTTTGAAGGTACTTTCTGCATTTCAACGTTTAAAACAAATTTCGTTACAAAATGAAATTTATGCATGGATGTTCGTTTAAAAAGTAAAATTAGATACAGGAAATAAGAACAAAACTAATTCGGCCAACTAAATAAGTACACACTTGATCATACTTGAAAGGATCACATAAGTGATGACATGAATACTCGATGTTTGAACTCACTGGTTCAGCAGCAATAAAACGGACTTCAATGGTTCCCTTTGGACTTTTGATGAGTGGTGAAAGTCCTCGAGGAAGAGTTTCCAAGCCATACTCGACCGCCTTTTCTGTCGGACCGTAACTGGCCTGTGCTGTTGGCGGGAATGGTAACGCAGCGAGCGAAGCGTTTCCCTCGGCTCCTTTTGCCTCAATCTTGTATTCACAGACGTCAGAAAATAGCTAAAATGGGATATCGTGAATGTGCACTTTAAAATAAAGAATGTCACGGTGGGCTGCAAAACGTCAGACAAATCCGGCTTTTTGCTGTCTAGGCAGCGTCTGGACTGACAGCGCTAATTATTTTCCTTCACAAACTACTAAGACTTTAAAAGTCAACATTAAATAAACTTCTAGAAATCTACCCAATCGCTAAAGAAATGTTATTTTGCACTTACTAAGCTCTAATTTCACCAAACAAATGTCCGAATAGAGAGGTTAAAATGTGCTACTAAAGCCAGCCAGGCAGTGTACTGAGCCTAAATCCAATGCATAAGTACCTTACTATTGAACAATTAGGCAACAATTTTATTCCCTGTAATAGATGTATCAGGCCCCTGTTAAAACCTACGTGTAACAATATTTCAAATGGGACTGGTTCTCTCCAGGTGGCCTGCTGCAAGCTAATGTAACTTTTGTGGCACTAGTAAAACTGCACGACTTAAAGTGTGTAAAATATACTTAAAATAATGTGCTTTGTACACTTAATGGTATTTTGGTGGGCCAAATCAAAGCTTTAAGAAGCTGTGCGCTTAGAATTTATTTACTGTGTTCAATATTCTGCGCAGTCATTAGCTACCTTTCCTAAATTCCTGAAATAACTTTGATGAAACGGCGCACGAGCGAATTGTGCGCTGCCTATTACTCCTAAATGACGAGACGTTTTCTTAAAAACGCATGATTTGAGACCTAGAGCAGAAGTTCACGTTTTAGATTATACCAAAATCAAATACATTCATAATTTGCTGCACTTATTTGCCATTCCGTAGCTTTGACTTTAATTCTAGCCCATCCTTTAAAACAAAATGGCCAATTAGTTAGTGCCTTCAGGATTGCTGCAGTCTTGAGGTTATTGTAAGAGGTTAGTAGTCAGTGGGATTTATTTAACAAAGTAAGATTTTTTTAGATATTAGCTTGTCGATGGCCATATGCTCAGTAACTTCTAAGCAACGCCTTTCTTCGTTTTAAGTGTTTATCATTAAAGTGAAGCATCATTTAACAAAATTAAAAAGGACTTGAAACTAATGAATTTCTCGCGGCAACAGAGAAACCTTTCAATTACTTGTTCTCTGGAGTGTCTGGCGTAAATGACAAGATTGTAGTCACCCTTCTTTGGCAGACGAAATTGGAAGACTACGCAAGATTCCTCTGGGGAGATTTCATGCATACCGAACCTCGTTTTGCTGGAGCTCTAAAGCAAAAAAATGTTTACCGATGAGTAGCCTTTTAGATTCTGTCCATTTTTTTGGACATGAATGTTTGGGAAAGACGTGGAGATTAGATAGACTTGTTCGCAAACAATATTAGATGAAGAGAAGGCTCGGTTGTGGTATAAGCACATAGTCAGATAGGCCGACTGAAGTAAAAGCGAAAAATGTGCTTAGGCTATATTAACAACAAACAAATTAAGGTGGAATTGCTTACAGAAACTGATTGGTAAGGTTACTCCAATGTAGGCCAACGAAGTAATAAACAAAAATAATTAATAGGACAGTGATGAGCATGGTGGAAGAAGAAAGTTTCGACATTAAGCAAGATGTTGTTTGAATGCATTCAACTAATTTTGGATGCTTCAATACACCAGGTTTGTTAACGCAAAACAGTTTCAAATGTCAATTTTTTTTCGTCAAGAAAATTCACTATTTTTAAATTTAACCCAAACCTATGCGCACGTTCGCTACTTTGGCTTCTTGAAAAGTGAAGTGGCAACTTGTTTTCGTCTGTGACTTTTAAGGTAGTTAAATCAATATAGGGATTGCGACTTTAGAATGTATTATTTTAGTATTTTAGGAAAATACATCAAAAGTCCCCTTTTAGAAGACGCTTATAGTTCTCAGTGTAAAATCGTTTGCGTTACAGATGTTAACTATTTCACACAGACCATAAGCGAAGACAACAAGCAACGAGATATAGTGGAATTCATGGTAATCATGCAACAGCACTGGTAGATACCGTGTAAAAGTTACTTAAAACAACCAGAATTCAAGACGGCCGATTCAACATCAATTTAGCAAATATTAAAATATTTTTGATGCATATACAGGACAATAAGTTCCCAAAATTTGACCCAAATCGTTACCAAAATGTTAAACCTTTAAAGCGGTTTGCTTTGCGCACATTAAACAACAAGACTAAGAACATTTAATGAATTTAAACGCAACGAAGAGATTAAACATCGAAATCCTTGAATCCCGAGTGGTTTGTGTTTGATCAGCGCTCCACTTGAACCTTGATTTCAACTTGAAAATTAATTGCCGACTGCAGTAAGCTTATGCAATAACAAAACCATTTTCAGATCGAGTATCTTAAATGCGCCTTAGGATTAGTGCACTTGTTGCACTTCCAAATGTCCTAACTGCATTTGATGCATGTCCGAATAAAATCTAATGTACACCGAAGAATAAATTAACTCGAGTTATTTACGCCCCCTGTCTGTTGCTTTACGCTGAAACACAGCTCTTGCCTCCCAATCCTTTCGGAACCTCTACTTTAGATGTCAATGTCCTGAGAATTATGGTTGACTCAAGTTGTTTCAAATCAAGTAGATCAATTCAACTTAACGTGATCGTTTGGAGCCAAGCTACCCCTTGAATTATTAAAACATATTTCAAGGTAAGGTGGCGCACGACTACGCAAAGCGGTATTGACCCCTAAAGAAATCCCTGTCACTACTGGTTACGATGGATGAATCAACTAACTTCTCCGGATTTCGAATTCATTGTCAATGGTTTCGCGCACCAAAATAACCCGATAACACTGGCGTGATATAAGTGGGAAATCTAATCATTAGAATTAAAATAACTTTTCAATATATTGAAGAGTTAAGGTAATAATTTTGAAGTAACAGGGTTTTTGGTTCCTGAATGAAAATTCACAAGAACTTGGGGATGAATACAATATGTAACTTTTGTATTCCTTTTAACATTACTTCCAAATGTTAATTAACGATTACTTAATAGCTGGTGGCAGTTACTTCAGATGCTTAATTTGTCATAAAAGCAATGGTGCCTTGAATTGTTGGAAGGATTTAGGCAATATTTTAATGAGGAACTCATTTTATTGACTATTTATTGAGTAAAAACTATCGCTGATTTTAGACAATATACACAAAAACAATTTTAAACCTCTTATCACCACTTTGGCTAAATATTGCTGTTAAATGCTAAGGTGACAGAATTAAAGGTAAATCTAAACGAGTGGACTATTGTAAAATAATGGTGCGTAGTCTGACTCCTTAATATATACCAGATGCTTGCTTTCACTGAATCATTGTAATTTAATCTAGAATTACAGTGAATTGTAAATTCTTCAGGAAAAGATTAATAACTTCACATTAGAAATATGTTGTTTACGATTACATAAAGCCAGCTAGATTATTCCTGTACGGGCTGCAACCAAAGACAAAATGTGAGAACAGGCGATGTTTGTTAGGTTTGAACAGGTTGTGCAACCTGCTTGGCTAATCAGGCAGACGGTTCCGTAAACCATTCAAATGCTTTTTTAAATTTCAATTTCGACTTAGGTGTTTACTAATCGAAGCTTTACAATGCTAAATACTTTTGTGCATTCTTAGAGAGGTCAATGTTGATGGAATCATTCAAACATGCAAAATTACTATTTTAACATTTTTGAGCAAACCACAAGAGAGGAAGACCTACCACGTCTATATTTCCGAAGCCTTCGAGACTAAGTTGATATGTGAAAAGGAGCTTCCCAATATTTTCGGGAAGAAGCTTCAGCTTTAGGACAAGTTGATTTTCGACGGCGACAGTGCCATCAAAATGTGAAAAAAGACTGAGTTCGTACTGGAAGAAAGCGGGCTTCAACAATGGCCATGTGGCGAAACTCTAAAGTGCAAATATAAATGTGCATGATCATAGCTTCTGGCAGTTTATTCCATTTCAAGATGCCAGTTACAAAACCGATATCAAAACGAAAAAGCAGGTTTTTTATGTAGATCACGATTTGCCTACAAGATTACATAAGTTAAAGTGTATGGAGGTGGCTAACTTAACAATTAAGCTTCGCTATAACTTTTTTTTATAATATATGTACAGATGTGCGATTTATATGCATTTAAAAAGATAATAAGTGAAGTCCGTTTAAAGAGAATGTTTGTTTTAACATACACCAGACCTTAATTGCCATTAATGAACTCCAAGCTTTGAACAAAACGTGCAAAAGGATTTTAGACGCACTTGTAAAATGCATAAAACGTGGTACTACTTAATGTTAACTACTGTAATTTACAACGATTTGATATGTTGGCTTCAGAATTCGACCGCCATAGCATGTAGATATCAATTGATTTAACAATCTGTTGCCTCATGCTTTTAATAACAAGCTAAATTTTCCCATACATGCTCAAAAAATATGTATTTACTTGAAACACAGATCGAATAGTAGCAACAGCATAGCCTCACCACAATCGAAATTGGTGGATCTATCAACTGCCAAACATCTTCGAAGGGGTAGTGGGTGTAAATAAGTTTTGCCGGATCGACTTGATAGTAAAACATGTCCATTTCGTATTGCATGGCAACTGCCTGTGAGGACTTGGCGAGGTTTTCCTTTGCACCCATGGCAAGTCGCTGCGCCGCCCACGTGCAATCGTAGAGATACCAACTGCCATCCACATAGGCTGCATTCCAGGAGTGCTGCAGACTAGTGATCTGTGCTGAAAGTGCTCCAGTTTCTGGGTGAAATAGGGGTTCGTCCTTCTGGACCAGGGGCTGGCCCACTTTGTAGTCCATGCTTTTTGCGATTCCACGCACCGTCAGGCACGGAATGCCGGAGTAGCGACACATGGACTCAAAAGCCTAGAGGTGTCAAAAAATCTTGTGAAAGCTATTCTAACTAATTCAAAATGCCATACATTTCTTACAAATGGTACCTTCTGTTTGAATATTTGCTTAATTTCCTCCTAACTCTGCATGACTGTAGAAACGTTCCCAAAATATTATTTGGGTTGGCAGATTGTGATAGAGCATTAAGTGTTCCATTGCCTCATTAATAACTAATGGAGCTCACAAGCGGTTCATGCAAACTATGAGAATATATGACAATCGATTAAATAATTTTGCTAATCATAGAAAAGGTCTGCCAGATTCCACTTTGAAAGTCTTTTACAATGATCTGAAGTCAGGACAGTAAACTTACTCCAGAGTGAACAAATCGCTCTTCAAAAAATCAGTAGCTATAAAAGTTTTGTTTTTATCCTTAAAAGAGTGTCTCATTTGGTGCAAAACAATTCATTTCAAGCCAATTATGCCAGGTTTAGTTATAAAAAGAGTTTGGCTTAGACGGCTAAGTAACTAGAATGTAATTATGACCGAAGTTTAACAAGCATTTTGGCATCCCTCATATTACTACCACATCCTCCATTTTTTGTGTCAGAATTTTAGGGATGTTTTGCTTTTGAAGAAGAAAGATGTCACAATTTTGGCCTTGGTACCACAAAAGTGCTACGATTCTGCTCTCAAAAACCAAAAATAACTGATACGTTGTGAATCACGAAGTAACAACTTAGACAATTCCACGTTGATGTATCTTCATTAAAAGCGAAATTCCTAGTAGCAAATCAAGTCATCTTTTTATATTTTCCTTCTAGAATAGTTTTTCTACCGAGAGACTTCTGAATTTGAATGTTGAAGTAGGTTTAAAAAACACATGGATTGGAAAAAGTCTTGTGTCATTGACCTAATTGCTTTTTGCCAACATTTAGTTGCGTAAACGAATTATATTTGAGGGAAAATGCCTAATCGTGCATATTCAAGGAATTTTAGTGAATAAGGGTTAATACAATAAACCGTAGGTAAGCACTTTTCGAGACTCGAATCGCATTACCCTGCATCGAAAAATGAGCCAGAAAAACCACTTAGTAGAAACTTTGCAGATACACGTAAGCACAATTAGGAATGAATTACAGCTTAAACAAACACAATCTTGAACTGACAAGTTTACCATTATAAGGGGTGAATATCTTAAGAATTTGTAAAACTCAGTGAATTTAAAACATGTAAGTGTTGAGATTATAAAACTGGACAAGCTTAATGGGCCGTGTGACTTGAGCAAAAACATAAGAAGACACAATGGCTTGTATACAAATAAGTAATGTGAGTAATAATATTCCCATCCGTCTAAATACTTCTAAGCACCTTCCTGAATACAAAACGTTATCCTCAAACGTTGACGTATATTATTTGCCTGGTGGTCATGAAACTTTTATCAACATCAACTGTGAAGATCTGCACAGTGCGATGGTCAGGTGTAACACATTTGCAATGACTGCAGCTATTTTGTCCTAATTTGCTCAGGCTTAACCTGAAGTGGTCGGCACGTTCACCCGTTGCAGTTAGCTTGGCAAGACATATGGGTGTTGTTTTTGTCCCATTTTCAATCATCAATGGCTAAAAATAACATTTGCGGGTATCGCTGGTGTGTCTTGGTGGCCGACACTAAAAAGGATTAACTCACATAGGAATCTCTACTCACTTACTCGAAATTGCATCGGAAAAGTGAAATTAATTTAGAGAAACAGGAAGTCTTTCCTTGAAAATGAGTACACAATGATCACATTACTGCATTAAAATGCCACCTGGAAACCAAAACCTGTAAAATAATACCTTGAGCTATGTGTTCCAGCAAAGTTTTATTTTCAGGCGTATGGCCATTGCAGAAATGCACGGAACTACTAAATGCCTTATATTTACACTCCATGCGAATGTGACTGGCAATGACGGACAAGTAGTCATGCAAAATAAATCCTTGCACTTTAAAGGTAATGGTTACGTGTTTCAGACATTAATAATCTCTAGTGTTCCGATTGTTAGGAAATTCCCAGACAACATCATCATCCTGCAACTGCGTACGACTGATCATTTCAAGACCAGGATCTTTCCAAATGTGTAAATGTTGTGTGGACACGTCAGTGAAAGCACGTTAGCATGACTCACTACCATAGCACTTTCGCACCTACAAGCTTTCGCTAAACCGGCACAGAAGCAAATACACGCATACAGAGTCATGCGCTCTTCTAGACATCAGGAGGTGAACTTTTAACCTCTACGTGAGAACAACTTTCTAGCTGATTTGGTTCAGGAGTGAAAGTGAACGTGTTTGCTAATTTACCTGATCACTTGTTCTGCTGAGTCAAAGGTTCACAACACACGGTCAAATCTGGCGCCACGTGCTTACAAGCAAAACCGTGGTTGTTCGATTGGCTGATATCATATGAGCCTCACGAAACAGAAACACACCAGCAGATCATTAAGGGCTCATAAATATTAATGGTGTCAGACGCTCGTAAATATCTGCTATGATCACAAAAGCCTTGTTCAAACGTCCGTTAAATTATAAAATAATATAATTCTTACAACAGAGGGAAGCATAAGGTAACTATGCAAACAAATCAAGCTGAATCTGATGGACTAGACGTTGAGATAAAAAACAGGAAGTGGTGTTCTTTTTAACTCCTGCTTGTACGCCTTATACTACCATTGACGAATGTCCTTAATAAAATGGTTGCACTAATCTCCGGGTTATGTAACCGAGACACCAAAAATGAGATGTGCCAGCAGAGCTAAGGATGATCGTAAGTTAAAATTTGCTTTTGAGGATCTAGGAGCTTGGAGTGCTCCTCTAGTTTGAAATTACATTTTACTTTTTCAGCTGTGATGGATTGCTTGTGCTTGTAGCCCAAACCGCACAGCTGGTAGCGCACACGTTGCCAAGTTCATGCAGTGTGGACGTAGTGCAAGATCGTTTTTCGTGCACGTGGTTGAGTGTCGACATTTGCAGCGTTATTGTCGTGTGAATCATGAGGGAACTAGGCACTTATACACTTTATACCACTTGTATATGTTTTAATACTCGACTGCTAAATTTGAATTTGGTTTTAATTAAGTTGCCAAGAGGTTGCTGGTGACACACCTGAATTCTGTGTTTGCTAGTAAGTTCTTTGCAAATTAAAGAAGGGTTCACTGGGTACAACAATTTTGAAGCGCTCAGATCTTTCTCAGTATTTTTAATTTTGCTAGAGATATCTTTAACAAGAGATTTGGACAGAAATCCTTTTGATGCATAGAATTTTTGGATGCGGAAACTGCCACCTTGATAATAATCATAAATTTGTTCCCTTTTTTAAGAACAGTTAAATCAAAAGCAAACACTTCACAACAATAGAACCCCTTTAGGTAAGCTGACCTCACTGTCATTTAAACAAAACAGGAATAACAGGTACCTAATTTTATGCATGGTTGAACACTAACACAGGGCTCTTCATTTCCTGGCATCTTACCTGGACGTAATTTGCTTTTCCTTCAGACAATTTAGAAAGAATAACATCCGGTGAGTCCATTGAATACTTTTTCCTGTCTTTTCCGATATTGATATCGTTCTTTTCTGTCTCGGAAAGGAAAGGCTGATCATTAGGTGGCTTGGAACAGAGCCAAGTGAAGAGGGCTCGAACTTTTTCTTCATCATTTTTTAAGCCTCTGGAGCCAATCAGGTGCCAGTACAGGTCCTTCCAACAGGCCGCTTTGGCATTACTTTGAGCTAACTGCCTCGCCGGTCCATCAACAGGCTGCTCTTTGTGGAGACGTGGATTGCTATTGATCACCTCACTGGCAGAACGCTTCGACGCTGTGGTTATTTCAGGACTGACCTGGATAATAGTACCATCTTTGGCCTTCTTGAACGCCGGAACAGTACTGGGAAGATTGAAGTTGTTAGGTGCACATTCGAGGAAGCTTGGCTTAACGGAAACACGAGATTCCTGCTGGTTTGTTACCTCGACTTGGACATGGTCCCCTACAACAGTATGTGGCTCATGTTTTGCAAGTTAAAAGCCGGAGATAAACAAAATACAGATTATTTAACTAGTTGTGGGCTCCTTGGTACACATTAAATGACAGTAATGTTCTTTTCGTGTTATTAAGCACAGAGTTCTGTGGTTTTGAATTTACGCGTACTTTACGCATCAAGTCAATTTGTTAAAAATCGAATGCATACCTGCTGAACAATAGTTCATTCATGATTTTAAACTATTTATTATCCAAGATCCTTCAGTTCAACAACGTCGTTGCAGCCGTAACTACAACATATTTTGTTTTAACACATTGCTAGCCTGAGTTCATATTTTGTTTACTTACAATTTTAGACTGCACAGAAAAAGTTGAGTTTGTCTGAAAGCCAAATGCCCTAAAGTATATTAACTTGCAGGCGTTCCAACTACACTTCTGGTTCTATTCGTCGGGACGTGAATTTTAATGTCACTAATACTGTACCAAACATCTACACTTCTATGAGTTCGCACTAAACAGGACAGCATGTCAAAGTTGTTTTCCTATTTTGTTACTTTGCGTTGGTTTATCCTCATCTTTAATGCAAACATTCTAGCAAATTTAAGGTGATTTTCTTTTGACTGAAAGACCTTGGTGCTTGAATGTATTTAAACCCTATTTATAGTCAATTCCATAAAAATTCAGGTAATCCGATATGGAGCTAGAGGTCAACAAAATGTGGTTAAATATTACATTTAGTGCATTCAGCCGCATTATTGTGATTAACGCAGAAATGAATACACTGGTTTAGGATTCTATTTACCATTAAAATGATCTTTTTCACTTGGACGGATTATTTTTAACAAAACGCGGGTAAGAAAGCAAACTTAAAACTTGTAATTATCAGAAAATTTGTTAAAACTTCGAAAAAAAATAAACACAAATGAAGTACTATAAACGAAATCAAAAATGCAACATTAAACGTTTTTAGAACCGAGCCTCGGACAGTTAGCCTGACCATCACTCCAAGCACTAACAGACAAACATTGTGAATTTCTGAAAAAAATGGGCGACTAATTTGACCTCTGCACTAGCAACGCAAATAGGAGGAAAATGTATCATAAATTTCATTAGTAAAATGATATTCCTAGAATTTTATTGGACTCCAACATCTTAAGTCTGAAAGATGGTCATTAAGGGAAACTAACTGGAATTTCATCCAGGCAAACTGCAATGAAAATCTTTATCTGGTTCTAGGTAGTTAACCAATGTTTGTTGTCACAAGGATACACTGGGATTCCAAAAAGAGAAATTTCACAATTTACCTTCAATAACTCCAATTTTATCTTTTGGACGCTTGTTTTTTTTCTCTTTTGTATCTGACTAAAAAGTAAAGAAAGCTTAAAATCAGTAAGCCCAAATGAGTCCAACTTTGTCAATGCAAAATATAAAGGGTTTTGGAAGCATCTCTGTGATGATGCGTTTTGGCTAAACCAATGAAACATGATATTTTATTGCGGCATCTTTTGGGTAAAACTAATAAATTGTAGTCTGTTCTTTAAATTAATTACACAACAAATTTATTGGCAAGTAGATGTATCGGCAACATTGTTATTACCAAGTGTTGTGAATGAATACAAATACTAACACATTACGTCATCAGGAGAGGTGCAAGTGAACCACAACATGAAGTGTTTTTAGATTGGTTCCTAAAAGGACTCGTGGTTTAAATCTAGATGTATAATACATTGTTATGCACATGCAGTAACATTTCAAAGACTAACGTTTGAAGGCTACAAAAGTAGGCGGAGAAGCACAAATCATCATGCCCACCATCCCAGCAGAAATGCAGCATATGAAAGCGACAGATTCAATTTATTTTTAACTGATCCTCATTTTGTGGAAGGTTGCAATGCAAGTTAAATGATAAGTTACAACGAAAATGTGAGGCCCTTAACGCGTTGATATTTGCTAATGTCACAGTAACAATATCGAATCTGTCATTTCGACATTCTGGATAGAAAATAAAGCAAAACAGTTAACTATGTTGTTTAGATACTTACAAAATTGACTGCGTTATAAAATACGATAATTTTCACTATTATAATAGCTTGTCCATCACGGTATTGAGGGTTAAATTACCAGATGAAACATGCGAAAGTTATTGGCTAAGTATTTGCCATTCCAACACTTTATCGTGAACATTGCACACGTAAATGAAATTTAGGAAAATGTCTCTACCTATAGGCTACCAAGACCTCGAACTAAGCCATAAAATGTCTCTAAATTCAATAGTTGACTGAAATTGATGATTTAGGTGGGACAATTATGGTCACCAATTTGGCAAACTATACGATTGCAAGACGCGCAACTGACCAAGCCCTTACTTCATTGTTCTAACGAGGATTCCATTTTTAAACCTAAAAGTTACAACTTGACCTCTTTTAGGCTTCCGCTTTCCTTCAAAATTCTCTTTTATTTTCTTACCACTGTTTGAGGATACGCAGTTTCCGAATTATTTGATCTGAGTTTATGCTTTTTATGAATTTATTGAAAATGGTGTTAAAACCCGGAGTTGGTCAACAAAGTGGTTAGACATTAATGTTTAGTGGAAAAACAGATGCCCTGACTTAACATCAAGTCTTCGAAAAAAATTGAATTTAAAACAGTTAAAACCTGAGCTTCAGCTTTGTTCGTCGATATACGCACTGTGAACCAGGGCCTATGTGAATAATTCACTTTGTTCTTAGTGGTTGGCATCATGTCATCACAACTACAGCACATGAAATAATGGCTTATTACTATGGAATTGAGTTTTTAGCAAATTTATGACATGTGGCTTTTTGCAAACCAAACGAGCATGCCGCCTGCACAAAATAATGGCTCTACTCCAACTAATTTCATTGCGATAAAAAAATTGAGCTGTAATGTATTATATAAACATATTGTTTTCAGTTTGTCCAAATAGTATATCGTCAGAATCCTTTTAGTTTAATTACTGTAAAACTTTATTCCCTCTAAATTGATTTTACAATTTTCATCTACCTGGGATAGGATTCTGGTTCTGCTATTAGACTTTAAATGAAACTACGATAATTACAAGATATCCCTCGTTCCCTGAGCAAAACGTCTTCATAGTCGAAATCTCTGAAAATGCGAACTAGTCTTCCAATCGGACATGTTGTTACAAAGTTACTTTATTAAATAAAAATTAGTCGTCATTAAATAACCATAAATGAAATCGCTTAGTGCTTTACTAATGAAGACAGTGTCTGGGTTCCAACTTCGGCTCTGCAAATTCTTAGTAAACGAATTTTATGTGCTAAGGATTAAAATTGTTCTCAAAAATCTAAAAAAAGTTTAAACTAGGATCAACTCCAGTTAAGCAGCCAGGTCATTAGGTTAATTTTTCAAAGTTTGATAAGGCATTAAATGCATTAAACATTAATTACTGCCGTTTCACATAGGCCGTCCGGTACGACAAGGAGAATTTGCTGGAAAGCAGTCAATCAAACTTTATTTTAGGAATAGCTAGCACCGTAGTAAAATCTCTTGAAATGCAACATTTAGGTTTGATGGCTAAAATCCAAGATTTCGGTCACGTAGGTATTATTTTTATAAATTGCACTCTATCGTTCGAATTCTAGTAGTAAGAGTTTGTAACTTCACTTCACTATCAACAGAAGATGCTCCCAACTGCTTAACAGAATGTTCGCTGCATAATATTATTTGTGATACTCTTAAGACTCTGGAATTTATTACGATGGCGATGGACGAAGGTGGCTGACAACTGCTTCTCAATAAAGTTTTGACGTTTACAAAATTTGTAGAATACAACATGCGCCTTTGAATGAAACGGCATAAAAATAAAGTGTTCTGAGGATTTTGAGGTATGGCAGACGGTAATCCATACCTTTATGGTAAGTTTATAGTAGTCCATAAACTAATCTGTGTAAGTATTGAACCTCAAATTAATGATAAAAATGGCTATAATGTAAGTTTTGCAGGTGTTTTAATGGTGGACAACAAGTTACTTAATCGTAACCCGATTATTACATTCTGCAAGCATGGGCAAATATTTGCAAAATAAATTTGTGTCATTTGCTGAGTTCAAAAGTATTTCACAAAAAGACAAACTCACTGATTGATTTTTGCTGACACAAGAAATATTCTGTCCCATTTTCGTTAAATTTTCAAGCTTGAAATCTTAAGTCAAGAAATTGAGTTATGTCCAAATCGCCTGTTCAGTTTTATTACTCCCGTGCAATTGTTACATCAAACCTCGCGTTTTGAAGGTCTTACGTCTGGCACGTGAAAAGGCACAGCATAATAGAACCAGCAGTTTTATCGTATGAGCTAAGCCAATAGAAACTTTTGGATTGCCGAACGTACCTATTGGTTGGACATTAGCCAATCGTGTTAGTCTATCTCGCCTCATTGCGCTTCGGGCCTTGCATAATCAATACCTCACAAAAACAAAATTTGGCTAATAAATTGGGTTTTGATGGTGGTTTTTCCTGTTTGTCTTCACGGATTTGTTACGCACATCACATCCACTATTTAAATAATAAGATGAGTGCATGCACTCAAGCAATTCAACAATGACAAATATATCAGAACATGGCAATGTTTACCACCCATGTTGCCAATTCCGAAATTGTAGAAATTTGATAACTCTATAACTCGTTAGTGATTAGAAGATCAACCTTATACTTAACAGGGCTCTTGAATAGAACATTTGAGATCTTCAGTTGGTCGTGGATGCTGTGGATAATATAAAAATTCATGTCTGTAGGTGTACACTTAGGGCAAAATAGCACTTCCTAAATATTTTCAAATTCCTCACAATTTGGAGTTGAGAATCATTATAATTGAACTATCATTTTTTCAGTGACCAGTTTCAAAGAATGTTAGTATTAATAGGCTTGATTGAAGATTATCATTTTCCTGTGAAGGCACTATCGTCAAAAGCAGCTCCACGCTATGATTTCAAATAGCTACTTTGGATTAAAAGGTACGTTATCTTTTGCTTGCAAAACAGATTTAATAGTTTAATTTTTGTTACGGCTTTAATTTAAAATTAAATTGTTTTAAATCATATTTGAATTTTGGCACGAGTTACAGTATACAGACTTCCTGAGACGCCATTTTAGATAGACATATATATTAAAACCTTCGTTTCGCGTCGAAGTTCAAAAATAGATTCTGTTTGTACTAACCAGAAAATTGCTAGTTTTCTTCACGCCTA